CTGTACAATCTTTCTCCACATACCTCTAGTGGGGCTCTGGAGTTGCAGACACATTCCTGCTGTGGGTATCTAAGGGTAGAGGATTATGGGTAGTGACTACTGAGATGCAGTCAGCTGTCACTTTGCCTGGTACTGTGGCACTACGCAACCTCTTACTGTGTGCGTGTGAAGCTGTAAACACCACAGGTGATGCAGTTAGAAAATAATTCACTATTCAAAGGGTAGAGTTCAGCCTCTCCTGTCTGATTCTACACTCTTCCTAAACATCATCCAAACTGAATAAGAAAATATGTTTATTAAAACCTCCTTAAATTCTATCATTAAAAATATTCATTGTTAACCCTTTTACAAGGAAAAAAAAAAAAGTCCAGCCCTTTGGCAGTTTTTTTTTTGTCCCTTTTGAAACAGCCATTGCTTTGCCCTGGACAGTGGTCTGATCACCTTTGTTTGTGTGTGTGTGTGTGTGTGTGTGTGTGTGCACGCAGGACATCAATGCCCACGCCTGTGTGACAGGAAAGCCCATCAGCCAGGGAGGAATCCACGGACGTATCTCAGCCACCGGTCGTGGAGTTTTCCACGGCATCGAGAACTTCATCAACGAGGCGTCCTACATGAGCATGCTGGGCCTGACACCAGGCTTCCAGGACAAGACCTTTGTCATCCAGGTACACACACACACACACACACACACACACACACACACACACACACACACACACACACACACACACACACACACACACACACACACACACACACACACACACACTGGGTTTGATCATAGTAGGAGCATTATACTGGAGAGGAAAGATGAGACCCTGAATTTAGTCCCGATACTTGCTCACAGATCCTCACAGGATTTAACTTTTAATTTGAGATCACGATGAGGGCTTTTAGAGCTCAATCAGAGCCGAGCCATCTGCTTAAGTCTAACCCTGATCTCCTCATGCCAAGCAGACAGCAGAGAACTGACAGAGTCCTGACTTTGGTCATGAGAAATGTTGATTCAGTAAGAGAGAGGGTTTAATAGTCTTGCAATAGAAACTGTACATTCCCTCTGCTCCTCTAAAGCTGCTCCCCCCACCCCACCCCATATCATACAATCTCAGGGGTATTTCAAATATAAGCCTGGTCAGAACAGATTATCAGACCAAATGACCAAGTGAGAAGTTTTTAAAAACAGATTGATATTACTGACTTGGGGTGGAAAACACAAGGTAATTCACGATACGATATGATATGATGTGTGGTCTAGATAACAATAATACTCTGACACTGCGATACTTGACATAATGCAAGACATTAATATAAAGATACGTCATGATTTTTCTAAAGAATGCAAAGTCCCTCTGACAAGGTAAAGTGCAGGATTAATGTATTTATTCACTGCCATTTGGTGTCAGTTCAACATTATCACGCTTCTCTAAACTTAATTCCACTGCATGCAGACATTATCTCTCTGTCTTATTATTTTTATCCTGCTGTAAGTTTCTTCTGTGGCCAAACAACATCCCTCCATGTAACCCTTTCTTGCGCTATAAGCGCCACCGTGAGGATTCATGAAGTAGTGTCACGGTCGGTGAGTTAATTTGTCAGGGAAATCTATTTATGGTCAAAAAAAAACAAACATGAAACATGAGTGAGAAACATCTGAGATTCGAATCATGCAAAGCCATTGTTTATTTCAGGAGACGTCTGATTTAAACTGTAATCTGAGAAGTAGGAGAGCAAAAGGTCAAAGAGCAGTTTATTCTCCTCAGCAGTTTCACTTCCATTCGTCACATGGTTGTCTTCCCGTGTCATGCAAACACACACACACACTCACATACTCTACAGATGTACACGTTGCAGTCCCCCAGGTGCTGGCCTCAGTTTCTTTCCAGGAATACAGTCTATAATAATCACTTTGTAATGACAACAATGTTATGTTGTATTCTTGATTACAACAAAATATGTTTGGATGTAATTATATTTAAGACAAAGTCAATTTGCTCTTTTTTTTAATACACTTTCACAAATATGCCTTCTTAGACAGATTCTTTGTCTTTTCTTGCAGCACAAACACAAAGTACAAAAGGATGATGTTTGTTTAGTTTTTTTTATACGCGAGGGAGGGAAGAGAAAAGCGTCAATGAGGAGGTGAAGACGTGGTCACAGCAGCTCGTTCATGACGTAGATGCTCAAAAAGCTTATCTGTGTGTGTGTGTGTGTGTGTGGAGATTATACTGTGCCGAGATGAGATTTTCTTAGAGATTTATTACAGAGTGAGGAGAGAACAGGCAGTATGGCATCGAGATCAAATCAGAAAGTGCTTGATGGACCATTCATAACGGGGATCCTGTCCCCTTAATCTCTCATTTTATTAGATTATAGTCGAGGACGTTCTAAATCACTGATTGGACTGTTTCGCAGGGGTTTTGCATGACTTGTGAATTTTCATTATATGCATTTGTATTTGAATTTTAGCAACAGAAAGATTTGACCCAACAGAATCACTACTGTCTATTCTTGTTTCCCCCTGTTTTATTTTGTTATTTTTATTTCTCAGCGACATTTACACGTTAATCAAACATACGGCATCTGTCTGGTGATTTATCTCAGGCCATGATGCAGTCAATGTTGGAGATGTTATAACCTAAATCAGCCACATGGGGGCACCAGAGTATGTAGTTGCAAGAGGCTGAATCACAATGTCTGACATGATTAAATGAATGAAGTTAGAAATATCAGTGGGGTTACACCTGATTGATTCTCACCTCTCTGGGACTTTCCACAGGGCTTTGGTAATGTGGGTCTCCACTCCATGAGGTATCTGCACAGGTTTGGGGCCAAGTGTGTGGGTATCGGTGAGATCGATGGATCCATCTACAACCCAGAGGGTATCGACCCCAAACAGCTGGAGGACTACAAACTGGTACGTGCACCGTCGCCCTTCCATCACTTCTCTGTCCTTTATATGATCCTTTGAAGTTGTTCTCCGTTCCCCTCTGCTTTCCCTTCCCAAAAGCACAAGAGGTTTGTTAGCAGAATTGTAAACTTTGATATGATATCGAAAAAAATTATAGTTTTGATAAGAAAGTCTTAGGTACCGGAAAATGGCTAATTTTTCTTTTTAACCATCAACTTGCACACAGTAGTTCTGGTACATAAAAATGCAGAGATCACAAAGTATAACATTTTTTATTTTCATAATAATGGAAGTTTTTTTTAACTACACATTGCTGCAGGGTTGTAAAGAAATACAGTTGTGTTTATTTGTACTTCAGAACATAACCGCTCTAGTAAACTGTGAGAAAATAATCTTTTATTTCTCTAACTCACTGCTTCCTTTTTAGATAACATTCAGAGTCTTTCTCCCTTTTTTTGTTTTTCTTTGTTACTTTGAGATCCTATCCAAGTCAGCGGAACAACTCATTTTGTGTGTGTACTTTCTGCAGAACCACGGCACCATCGTGGGCTTCCCAGGAGCCAAACCTTACGACGGGAACATTTTGGAAGCAGACTGCCACATCCTGATCCCTGCAGCTGGAGAGAAGCAGCTCACACGTGTCAACGCCCCCAGGATCAAGGCCAAGGTAAATACTCAATTTGATGTACCCATGGTGCTTTGCTTTAAGTGGTCATTTAAATGCACTAGTTGGGAGAGGGTGGACACACTCACATGAGACGTGTATTTTGTCTCACACAGATCATCGCTGAGGGTGCCAACGGGCCCACCACCCCAGATGCTGACAAGGTGTTCCTGGAGAACAACGTCATGGTTATTCCTGTAAGCAAACACACAATGCACATACACACAGACGCAGAAGTATAGACATCAAAATGTAGTGGGAAAGTGGGAACCTCAGGTGTTGAAAAATTAAGCCAACACAAAGAAGTGCAGTACTTTGAGTTTCCACTTGAGGCAGGCTGCAAAAGCAAATAAATCATCATTATGGTCCGATATTAATATGTTGATTTTTACTAGCTCATTTTTTTATTGTAAAAAAGAAAAACTGTACTGGGATGATTTTTTTTTTTAACTCGTCTGTTTTGATAATATAATATTCATCCAAAGTTAAGTTGAGGTCAGCATTACCAACATGGCGACCACCATCATTGGCCTTCATAGTGTCTCTTCAGAAACCAGTGGGTGACGTCACTGAGACTACGCCCATCAGACAGCCTATGGTCATTTCATACATGTTTCTGCCTATGTTTTATAACAAACCTGTTATGTTGTATGTAAGTTAAATGTTGTTTTTTTTAAGAACTATTTAGGATTTTGCAACATTGCGCTCAAATCTGATGACATTTCATGGCATGCTTGTGAATTTTTGAAGGAATGTCAATGAAACCAAACCGGTCCAGCCCTGATACTGAAGATGAACTGAGCTTTAAATCTAACAATATACACTAGCTGAGGATTTTTTATTTAAGTGCTAAGAAATAGTAAAAACAAGTTTATTTTTTAGTCCTAACATTACTTGTAAAAAAAATCATTCCACAACTGTATTCATTTATAGTTTATTTCACACATTCCAAACATATAGTATAACAAAGCCAAATGAAGTTATCCCATCTTAAACACACAGAGGTTAAAACATTCAGATGATGTCTGTGTTTCTGATGTTTCTGTCTGCAGGACATGTACCTGAACGCTGGTGGTGTGACTGTTTCTTATTTCGAGTGGCTGAAGAATCTCAACCACGTCAGCTATGGGAGACTGACTTTCAAATATGAGAGAGACTCAAACTACCACCTGCTCAGTGAGTACAAGACCACTCTTCATACTGCAACCTCCTCCATACTGCTGCAGACTTCTGGAGTCCAAAGACAATCAGAACCTTCAATTCAAGCGTCTTTGAGTTTCTAGAAAAGCGCTATATAAAACCAATTTATTGTTGTTATTATTATTATTATTATTATTATTGTTATATTGATTCATTTCCTTTTTAATGTTTATCACTTCACACACACACACACACACACACACAATTGGATATTACCAGAACCAGGCATTTAAAAAAAACGATCTATCAGATGTGAAAAAAAATTCAAATCAGAAAACAAACCCAGTTAACCCTGCTAAAAAAAGAGCAAATATTCTATAATAGTCCGGTATCTAGACACAATTTTGTTCATTTTTCTCCCTCAAATTGTTACTAGCTCTTTATTCCTCAACCTCAGTTGGGCTGGGCTGGTCTTGGGTTGTTTTGTCCTCGCCCTCAGTCTCATCAGCACCTGTGGTGGTCACATCGCCCTCAGTCCCATCAGCACCTCCACCATCATTTAAATTCACTCTCATGACTTCAAATCTTTCCACAAAGTCTCTCATTAGTTTTTTGCCGTACACGACAACACGTCCAGTGTCATACACACATATGGTGCCCTTTCTTGACTTGAGTTTGATCCATTTATGTTCAGTTACCTCTAGATCAGTGTATTCTTCCGTGATTGTATTCAGCCATGCATTTTTATTTGAATTGTTAAAGATCAGGTTTGTTCTTATATCCTGACGCGTTGCATCATAGTAGAGCCTCTCTGGATGAGCTTCCAGTACCTTCTCCTTGAACACTTTTCTTTTTTTTTTGGTCTTTAACTCTGCAGGGTATTCAAAAGGAAGAGCCATCTGTGCCAAAACAATAAAACATATTGTTGTAAATGAACATGCTGCTGATAAACTCATTGTAAAGTCAGACTTGCTGTGATGTTTTACCTCGTACTTTTCTTCTTTTTTGATGCTCTTGGTTATTCTGCTTGGTGGTGGATACTGTGGTTCTTGCAGCTGCTTCCTGAAGAACAAGATAAAACTTTGGATCAGGAACTTAATCAGATGTGGGCATGAAAATCTCCACTTTCAGTTTGACCCTTTAGTTCTTGTTTTTTAATTCCTCTATATGTGCCATATTGATTCAACTTTTAACATCAACTGTTAGAAGTTCATGGAAAATAATTTGAAGGACAATAAAGAGAAGTTTTCTTACTGAAACTGTGTAGGGTCAGGCAGCCTCTGTGAGGGAAGATAATCTGTTGGTTGATGCCACTGTTGGTTGATGCCACTGTTGGGTGGGGGTTATTTCTGTATTAAATGGTCAATGATGAAATCGTGAAACAGACTGTGGATCATCTTAAATTTATTCAGCCATGATCAGACAACATAACAACAGAATACACATGGCTGATAAATCGCTGACCATTGCTGACCCATGCTGATCTTACAATCGCTGGCAATGTATTCATCTACACAGTGTTGCTTATATTCTGCTAGAAGGTACAGCCTACAAATTCCTTTCCATCTGGTTAGACTTCCAATAGGCTAGAAAGAAGACTTTAGCTTGACTCGTAAATGTTCGACATGTTCCTTTTCAGCTCACCACATACACTTGACTCCAATCCAAATATTACTATGCTCTTGCTCTATTGCTTGCTGCTATGAGGTCTCTTACAAGACCTAAAAGAAGAATTACTCTTAGATGGTTGACACAATTCAAAGATATATCCAAAAAAATTTCAAGATAAATAAATTCATGAAAATGCGGACTAACAGCTCCCCCGTTTATTTATTTAATCTGATCTTTTATTTATTTACAGGGAGAAGAGTTTGAAACATAATTTTAGTTTCTCTTTGAGGTGTTCACCAATCACCTTCTTTAAGTATATGGCCTCTGAGTTTCACCTTTAAGACATTAAGATCATTTAACACTGTCCTAAAAACATCAAAATGTTTCAAGAGTGGTTAGAAAATATAGGCAAAGATCATAGGTCACACACTTACCAAAAACTTAACAGAAAAGGCAGGAAACCTTTTATTGTTATATTGGGAAACTCTGATCATGTTTTGTTTCAGAGAATGAAATCTTAAGTTATTCTCAGTGGTGAATTTACAGAACATTTGAAAACCAAAACTGTTAAATTAATCAAAACTAATCTAAAACATTCTGTCAAACCAAAAACAAATACCTTATATCACATCCCACACTTTTTTATTTCAAATGTTTTTTATTATTTTTTATTTTTGCTAATTTTTTATAATAATAGATAATCTTTAGCAGATCTGCATTTTAGAAAAATAATCAATAAAATGGAAGCAATGACTTCAGGGTACTTCAAAATAACAAAGTCTCTGCTAACTAGAAATGAAAGAAATCTTATCTGATGTTTAAAATTAACACAATTCTAACCTTCCTGTCTCCCCAAAAAAACAGAAGAGAAAATGTTTGATTCAATCAAAAAAATAGAGAAATCTTTAAGCTTCCATGGAAAGATGTGGTAATTCTTATACTGTGTAGGATCAGGTTAAATTAGTTACTGAATTGGTAGATCTTAGAATCAGTACAGAAACAAAAAGAAAACGCATCATTAAAAAAAAACTATCATCATGATGGTCAAGAAAAATTCAGGATAATCCCAAAAATGCCCAAAAGTTTTCTTACCGAGTCTGTGTAGGGTCAGGCAGCGTCTGTGATGGAAGATAATCTGATCTGTGGTTGATGCCACTATTTATTGATGCCCCTGTTGTGTTGATGCCACTATTGGTTGACGCTGCTGTTGGTTGACGCCCCAACAGACGTGGCAGAAAGTTTTCAGGAGAAATGAAACTGAAACATATGCAATATATGAAACACACACACACACACACACACACACACACACACACACACACACACACACACACACACACACACACACACACACACACATATACAGTGATATACAGTAAAGCGATGTCACCCTTTTTCTGGAGTTGAATCATATAAACAGTCTTTCACATTTAATACCAGAAAACATTCATCTCACTTCAGTAGATCTTCAAAGCACTACATTACATTTGAGTTTGGTCGTTGCTGGCATTTTGGTGTACAGTAAAGAGGTCTCTGGTGTCTCTTCAATATCTCTCTTTCCTGTTTTTTTTTCTTCTAGTGTCCGTGCAGGAAAGTTTAGAGAGGAAGTTTGGCAAGCAGGGAGGACCCATCCCCGTCGTTCCTACTGCTGATTTCCAGGCCAGAGTTGCTGTGAGTAGCATCTGCTGACACACACACACTCACACACAAACATGGAAATACACATTCTGTTCTACTGAGACTTTGAGTTATTGGTCCACACTGGTTTGCGATACCTGGACTGAGATAGCCTAGCATGTAAAGTTTTAAGCCTTCATGTCTGTTACATGACATCAAAACAGCAAGGGAAGCTATAGAGCAATAAACAGTGTTACAACGCCTTTCTGTGTCTAAGTTTTTATTGCTTTAAGCTCAGCAGGTGGTGGCTGGCCAACGATGCTATTCCATTAGACTCCCTAGTACTATTTTAGAGATGTATTTCTTGGGGCTTTTCAGTGCTTTATTTTAGAAATAGGACAGTGAAGTCAGAAACCAGGGAGAGAGAGGGAGTAGGGAACAACAGGAAAGGAACTATTTTACAAAAACATGGTAAAAGCTCACTATTCAATCATGATTGTAACTGTTTTTAATGGTATATTTTCTGCTGGAGAAATGATAAAACATCTGAGCAGCACTTTGCATATGTAATGTTTGGATTGATTGTGTGATATCCATTCATCGTCTGTTTCAGGGTGCCTCTGAGAAGGACATCGTTCACTCTGGGTTGGCCTACACCATGGAGAGATCTGCTCGGGTAAGTGATTGCAGGAGACATAATAAAGGTCATAATCATGCATTTAAAGCAAACTGTGATATATTGTTCCATAAATAAACCGTTTGCTCTTTTTTATGCATATAAAGAACTAAAAAAAAAAGGGAACTATTATCCATGCTCATACTAAATCCTACCAAATCCATGTCAGCCTTAGATTCCTTCAAAAAATCTAATGTAGTAGAATCTGCTGTCAGGGGATGTTATCAACTCATATATGCCATCTCAGAGAAGTCAGTATTGGCATATGTTTTATTTATATGCAGTTGTATATTAGTATTATTTTTAAAGAAGATTTAAAGTGGAAAGCAATGGTTGGTTGTTTCAGAAAAGGTTTTCATTGTATAGCATCGTTAACATTTCTCTCAGCACTGTGTACAGCACATGGAGCAGGCTGTGGTCCACGTAAGAGTTAAAAAGCCAACTCCTGAGTACCATTGCGTTTTCAAGATAGTAAGAAATGATGCACAATTTGCACAAAAAGGTCTGTTTTCATTCCAGCTCACTACATCAGCCAGTTATTGATTTTAGTTTCACCTTTTAAAATTGGTATGAATTGAAAAATGGCTCGACTTGTTAATCTTTAGTTGGATCTATGGTGACCATCTGATTGGTTGGATCTGTTGTTAGCCAACATGTATAAGTGTGTTTTGTTTTTCTACCTTTTCCAGCAAATTATGCGCACTGCAGCCAAGTACAATCTGGGTCTGGACCTTCGGACAGCTGCTTACGTCAACGCCATCGAGAAGGTCTTCAAAGTCTACAACGAGGCCGGGCTTACCTTCACATAAATGGCCAATCTTGTCCTCTCCCTCACCTCCACCCTCCTGCCTTTGATCCCTCCTGCCCCCCGACCTTTTAAACAGCCTTCAGAACATATCACTGTTTACCACTGCTCTTTGGCTCTTTTAAACACACACACACACACACACACACACACACACACATACAGCGAAACATAGGCTTGCCTTGTACTTATCCTGTGATCTTTGCTCTGCCATGAGTAAATGTTGCCCTCTTGTTTTTGTTGCCTGGTTATATATTGAGATGAAAGCAGAAAGAGAGTAACATCTTGCCAGAACGAAAGACCCTGTTCATCCCTCATGTAAACGTTCATGATATTGTCGTGTGGCAGCCATGTTCAAAGCGCCATTATTGTGATCGCTGAATGCATGTGTGACCCTTATGTTGCGGTTATTCAGTAAACAGCACTACAGATGCCTTATTTGAGCAAGAGGTGTGCTCTTAAATAGAAATAGCCTCTTGAATTTAACTTTAATTTAAAGGGATTTAGATGTGAATAACAGAGAATAGTAATTTTATGCCCCCTCAGTTTCAACTTGAGCTTCAGGTGTTAAAGGGTAGTTAAGTCCCCAAGGTTTAGGATCCCCACAAGGATTATCTTCAGTCATAGTTTGTGTATTTACCTGCAGAGATTACCCCCGTCACCTCTTTTCTTCCCACCTTTCCCGTTGCTTTGACTTGAATATTAAAAGCAGCTTCTCCCCGACTCCTCCGCTGGCCAAGAAAGGGGAGCAGGGAGGAAGCTTGGTGTCACTGTGACCTCCCGTCCCGTTTGCAATTTTGCTCAGTTTTAATCGTCCAATTCCTCAACATTCAAAGTGTTTATGGAGGAAATTTTTATTTTTATTTTATTCTTTTTTTTGGAAAACCAATAAAATACTCTGAAAAAGAGGCAAAAGTGTGTCCCTTCATCTTCATTACACGATAGATAACTCTGAAAATACTGGAAACTGAAATGGAAAAACAACGAAAGGCATGATAGAAGGAAGCTTTCAGTAGAGAGAAGATCCTCTAACATCCCTACTGTCTTCATATTTATTTTCTCCGTTCACATACATATTTGGGAATCTATAATTAGTGTAGTCGCTGTTGGAATTTACTTGTAAAATTCCTCTTAGTCACTTAAGAGATACTTCACTTTAACAGATATCACTTGAATAAGTGATTTGCAAAAGATCTGTAACTAAGAGTGGACTTTCATCTGGATAAAGACCGCCTTCAAAAATAAAACCTTAATGGTAATTGGATTTAAGCATTTTTTTTGTTGGCAAAGCAAGTATGAATTGGAATCACAGTTTGCTACTGTGTCTTCGTCTGATCCCTGTTAACTTGAGGGGTCCTGTATTAAAAATCCAGCCAAGGGCACCAGTCGCCTAGTGGTTAGTGTACACTGCACTCCCCATGAACAAAGACTGTAGTCCTCCAAAATAAACATACAAAAAAAAAAACTAGCTGTAATAAATATTTCTGATTATATTTTTAATGTATCACAGATTAAAAGGCACAAACCAGCAAACTGTCTTAAGTCACCCCATGTGTTAAATATAAAGAAAGGAAAATACTGCATATATTATTTATACACAGATAACGTGTGCTGTACTGGATGGATACCTAAAGGAATAATATAACATGTTACACACATTTGCTTTTTTGCTGAGTCATTGTATGAGAAGGTGTTTTCTGTTTATTAAACTCAAGCTCGGTGGTGTTTATCTTAGCTTTGGATAAAGACTGGATGATGCTGTGCTAATAAATATTGAATTACTTTAAAAGTACAAAACAATAAATGTTTACAATAGTTGCTTAGTGACGATCTGGAGTCTCATTGTTATCACCAGGCAGATTAACATTTAACAGATATCACTTGAATAAGTGATTTGCAAAGATCTGTAACTAAGAGTAGACTTTCATCTGGATAAAGACCGCCTTCAAAAATAAAATAGTTAATAGTTAATAGTTAATAATTTACAATAGTTGCTTAGTGACGATCTGGAGTCTCATTGTTATCACCAGGCAGTTCAGCAGAAATGTTACATGGCTGGATATACCGGTACTTGTGAACTTGTGTCATTTCCATATGTAGGCCTGTGTGCATATTGGTATTACAAAATATGGGACTATAGAAGTTTGTTTGCTTCTTTTGCTTTGCTGTGCTAGTTATTTTCTTTTTTTAATTTGTTGCTTCTTTTAGTCTTTATGCTATATGCTAGGCTAGGCCAACCGTGACCCAGCTCTATCTGCACAGCACACACAGACTTGAAATGGCTTTTCAGTATTTTCTGTCTTACTCTTGGTACGAAACCAAAGAGGAAAAGTCATCAAGGGCTTATAGTTCACTTTAACACTATAGCAGGTAAATCTGACACAGTTTCACATCTTGTTCAAAACTCTTGACACAGGTGCTGGATTTCAACAAAATCTTTTATTTCACTGGTACTGTTTATAAAATCAGCAAATCTGCTTTGATGCCAACTTAAACATGGTGTGCGATTTGTCTTTGTGTGGGATTTTGTGATTTGGTGTAGAAGTGTGTGTTTAAGTTTAAGTGTGGTGTCGTGTAGAGTCTGTGTGTGTGTGTGAATGTCAGATTGCTTGATAAGGCAACATGCAGTCATCAGTTTCCATTGGCCTCAAAGTAAAAACACACAAACCTGATCCAGACACAAACAAACACACACACACACACACACACTTTGCTGGCTTAACAGGTTCTATGTTACCACGCACATATATATATAACACACACATAAAGTGCTTACAGACACACACACTGATGCCGGGCAGACAAGCAGTGAGAGATGCGACAGGAGAAGGAAGTCCTCTGATTGGCTGACACAGTTGATAGGTGGGAGCTTCAGAACGGCGAGGCTTCAGACTAAGTAAAGTGAATTCAACTACCCTTAAAAAAACAACTACATATCCCAGAATTCAAGCTGGACACAGAACTACATATAAAGCTGATATATGCTGAAACCTAAACCTTCATTCTGCTCTCTAAGCGGACTGAATTGAGGTTTTTCATCACAGTAATCTAAACAACCTGCTCGTTTCTCTCGGTGGCATGCACACAAAGACTAAAAAGCAACAACACAATAACAAGAGGTATCTGTATCAGCTGCAAGCGTCTCATCCTTGATTTAAGCTTTTGAAACCTAGTTTTCCCTTTAAGTTCCATGCAAATAGCTTTGAATAAAAAAAAGACGACGTATTTCATCTTGTCAAACATAAACATATGCCATATGAGACCGTTTTAATTCCTCATTAACCCTTGACATTCCTGTATTCAAATACAGGATTTACTGTTCCTCATTTTAAAGTAATTTGAAGTATTTAACGTATATAACGTCAGAGATCCAGCATGATTTTCTTTGTATTATTTCAATTCTATATTTGATTTCGAAATACAGTTTTATTATTTGTAACAGAGGTTTACATGTTTTCCCTCAAGACAGCACGGGACATTTTTTTAATGCTCTCTACGCTAGGTGGGGGAAGACTTTCCATGAGCCAATCAGAATTTAGGAAACAATATCTTGTTGTTTGCAGGGGGGGGGAGCTCCTGTCAATGAAATCTAACCAAAGCAATATTCATTGACTGTTTAACCCGATAATGCAAAGCTCACTTGTTCCGTTTACTCACTCTAAAAATATTGACTGTTACAGAGGCATTCTTTAAAAGTACAAGACTGCATAACACCACATGGAACAACTGCTCTTACCTTCTCGTGCATCACTAAACACAAACCATATTGTTGCTCAAACGGCTGAGAAAGATGAGCGCAGTGTATTGCTTCCTGGTTAATGACACTGTTATAACCCTGTTTCTAATAAATGCCGACGCCAAACACACACTAAGCTACACAAAGCTACACAAAACAGCCGCTACTCTATTGTTACAACACGAGACGAGTCATTCCACACACATGTGCATGCAGGCTATTGTAGCTTACTAACTACTGCACACACACAACAGAATGAGACCTGTCTTTAACGCCTCTGGAGATTTAGTTTATACGTCATCAGCTACACATGCAAACACACGCACACACACACACACACACACACATACACTCAATATATATATATATATATATATAAGCTATCATGGAGAAAAGGCATAAAAAGAGAAGATTGCACACACCCTCACACACCCTGCCTCAGTCACACAGTGAGTCATTGTTGTGGTTGCCCAGTGTGTGTGTCTGTGCTGGCTTCAACTGTATGTACTGTATGTGTGTGTTTAATGTATGTGTGGAATGAAGGTGTATCACTTTTTTGTGTGTGTGTGTGTGTGTTTGTGCGTGCACTGTGTGTTTGCGTGGGAGGAGTCCCTAAAGGTTGTTAGGCAAGTGGGGGGTGGGGGCGGTAACAACACAAGGACCACACTAACACACGGGTGAGGCAAGGGTGAGACAGGCAGTGAAAGAAAACAGAGCTACAGGCTGCAGAAAGGGGAGAGGATAGGTGATGGGAGGGAGCATCACGAAGGGTGAGGCAGAGTAGGTGCAGGTAGGAAGGCGGGGCTCAGGTGCGGCATCTGGAAGAGTCTGTTTGAGTTGATTTTGGTTCTGTAAAGTCACAAAAAAATATGTCGGACATCTGGAGTCTGGTACAGCGAGGCGAGGGGAGCGAGGGGCCGTCGGAGAGAACGGTAAGGGAGGTCCTGGAGATGACTAATAACCCTGTGTAGAAGGAAGAAAAAAACTTGATTAAAGTAGAATGACTTCTAAGGCCTTTAAGTGTTAAAATCATTTCCAACTTTCAAAAAAAAAAACATTGACATAATCGTTTCACTTAACCAAAAGTTTCACAAAATAATTTGATTTGACTGAGGTGCTGCGGCTCTGATTTAACCTCAGCAGCACTCAAATGTGTTTCCTTACCTCTCCTCCCTCCCCACCCTGCTCCATCCCTCCATATTCTCCCTGCAGGAAGAACAAAATAAGAGAGAAAATGAATCCGACATTAAAGTGAGGTGGAGTTTTCTGAGAGGATGAAAGGATGGGGTAATAGCAGGGCAGAGGGCCTCAAGCACCAATGGCCATCTAGCGTTCGTTTTCCTCCGTCTCTGACATAATAAAGCAGTTAAGCCTACAAAGAACATGCTGTCCGGATGACTCCACTCTTATTATCATGCTTAAACTATTCCCTGCAGGATCAGTTAGAAGTTTAGAGATGTACAGCTTGTGAGAAGGAAATAGTAAAAACTTTAACTGCCTGTTTGAAGGTTCTCTGGACTCGTTCAGGCTGAGCGATGCATGACTCTACATCTATGCATGCCATCAATATACTCTAATTGCTTATCTGGCGTGCTGGAGATGTGGCTCTAAAGCTACAGAGGGGCTGCATGGTTAGAAATGTAGAGTTTTAGTATCACTATTGCTTAAATCAGTAAACGTCAGAGAGGTTAGAGGAAAAGGTTGGCTATATATATTCATAGTAGGATACTTAAAAATTGCTAACAAAGACGTAGCTTTAGGTTCGCAATTTTTTTATTTAATCAACACAGCTTCCATTTTTTCCTCCTTCTCTTGATGCTTACTACGTTGGTTAAGCTAATTAGCTAATTTACACTTTGTCACCAGTATGTTAGTTACACCTGTACTGTATATAATGTAATCCAACATTCCTGTAATAAGTCCAACCATAAGCATGACTGTACTGCAGGACTATTGCAGGTTCATTGGATCAGGTTGTACAGGTTTGTTTAATTTACTGGCAACATTGTGCAGGCAGCATGCAGGTAATGCCCTCTTTCTGTTTAAACCCAGAACAACCCTTGACCTATGAGCCCACAATGCTCTTTCCAATAGGCACCTCATATACAGGCTCCTCCTATCAGGGAAACACAGATCAGACACAAACAACAATACGTAAGACCAACAGCAGCACGTACCGACAAAACAAGACAGAAGCAAAGCGTACAAAAAGCACAGTCAAAGTAAAGAATAAACACAGAAGACACAGAAAATCTGTTACAGAGCGATGAAGGGCATGACACAAACATTAGCCCAGATGACAGGCCATCTAACAGCAACAGATGATTATCAGGGGAGTTCATTCAAAGAGGAAAATATACCAGAAAATATAGCAGGCTTCATTTAAGAGTTTAAATCATGGACTGTATGCAATCTACAATATCCAGGATTGAAATGAATAACTGATTATCTAATTATAATTTTATATATTAAAGTGCAAATAAGTAACAACAGCAGATATTATAAATACAGTGATGTGAATCAAGATTGTTTACCAACTGTACAAACTGGTAATAACAGTTAAACCTAAAAGACATCACTTTACGCTCTAGGAAATTACTCTATTTCATTCATTCATTCATTACTCTATTTCATTCATCTACCTGCCTAGGGACAACAGATGGAAACTAGCACTTCTGCTATAATCTGGCATTTTTGCATCTGTAATTGTTACAGCTGTTCATTAATATGCACTGTCTCTAACAAATAAATAATTAAATGAATAAAATGAATTTAAAGACCAAATAAATGGTTCCAAATAAACAAGAGCTGGCAAAGAAGAGCAGAAGGTGTGTTCATTTAAATGTTACACAAACTGTTTGATGTGGTAAATATGGGGAAAGAGCTCGATCTAGTGGTTGACCTTCCACATTTTTTATTTATTTTTTTTTAATTAAAAAATTTCAGGCTCAACTTAAATAACTTTTACTGATTCTGCCAACTGTTGTGTTTTAAGGACAATTTTTTAGCCATAAAAAATGACTATCATGGTTGTCTTTTGGTCTCCCTGTGGTAAGCTTAACTTAGCCCTTAACCCTTAGCCCTTCATCACTGTTGCCGTGGTAACTGACCTGGTTGACCATTCCGGTCGACGCGCCGACATTCTCGAGCCCCTCTCCGGATGCTTGTGAAACTTCGTTGGCTGCACCCACCGCCGTGTCTCCGACGATGTTGGCCTGGTCCACGCCGGTCCTGTTGGCGACTGACGCGTAGAGTGAAGGACGGTTAGTGGCACTTTTACACACTCAAAAAAAACCCCACACACACATGTTGTCCTAATTGACACGGCCAGATACGTTTGTACGACGTCATGTCCTCTTTGCGGATTTTATTTACTATGAATGTTCCAGAAGCAGCCCTTGACCAGTAGGTAGAAGCACTACTAAATTTAGACAACTTTAATTCCATATTTTTGCTATTCATTGTCTGTTTTTAGTTAAAGAGAAGCAATACAACCATTTTTGTGAGATAAGCTTCATTTAAACTACTTACAACCTGGAACACAACAGTTTTACTTCATAACAGCATTTGAGCTTCCCACACTAAACATGACCTCAGACAGGAAAATACCCTCTGTGTGAATTTGATCAATTAAACCTAAACCACAACAATGTTTCTGTAGCCAGTTGTTTCATATATCCTCAAGGATTTAACTAAATGTTTTATGTCTTTTGCTTTTTTTTTTTTTTTTTTTTGAGAATCAACACATGCAAACTTTTCTTTTTTTTAAATGTACAGTTAAGAAAATGTATGCTCATTGATAAATCTCACATTTTGTCATTTGGTAGTACGTTTTCTTCATTAGTGTGGTGCCTCTTTTTTGCAATTAGCCACAGTGTGCTTGCTCCCTGAGGCCCATGTGTTGAAATAATAATGATTTATACTTTATTAATCCTGTGAGGGGAAATTCATTTTTTACATGCTACACAAACATAGGCTGAAATACACACACATGCACAAACAGGATGAACATGCACTAATGGAGAGGTCTCAGAGTGGGGGGGGCTGCGCACGGTGGGCTGGGCTGGTGAGAGGGTTGGGGGCCTTGCTCAGGGGCACCTCGGCAGTGCTCAGGAAGAGGACTGACACATCTCCAGCTACCAAGCCAATTTCTGGGCTTGGTCCGTGCTGGGACTTAAACTGGCAACCCTTTGATTCCCAAACCAAGTCCCTACAGACTGAGCTACTGCCGCCCCACCTACTTTTATTGGTGGGTGAGGAGAACCCATAGACTGTAAATAATAATCGACAGACCCTGAGTGAAGTCACCCATCGGTAACGCAAAGGGGCAGTCGACATGCTAGAAATGCTGTTTCATCCTAACTTTCAGTAAACCAACTGACAGGGCGGCAAGAGTTGGAGCTGAGGTGGGTCTTGAGGCTCCTTAGAAACAGCTACAACGTGCCCCCCCCCCCCCGTCAGTCAGGCCTGTTACGCGCCTCATTGTGAATAATGCTTAACCTCATCAAATATAAACGGATTAGTTATCAAAAAATTCACCCTCTGTACAGCGTGTGGTGATAAACACATGAGCTTATCATACCAATTTCATTTTTTTTTAACCTTCTTCCTTTAAATCAGGCTTTTTTGAATGGGTGTGTATGTGACTTCTGGTGCTTCTGCAGCCAGCCTCAATCGGACACTAGACGAACTGCGAGATTTTGCACTTCCGCTTTGGCTTCATTTCTCAACACCAGAGTTTGCGGCTTGGGAGAACCACTGTTGTAGTGGATTTTTTCTTTCTTCAGAAAAAACGTAATAAAAGAGTAGCCACCATATACTTTATGTACTGTAGATGAACATTTTTCCTGGCAAAAAGATGTGTCAGTATTCAGGAACAAAACACATGTGAGATCACCTTTCTTTCTTAAAATACAGACTACTGGTGGGAAATATTTACAAAAAAGAATTTTCCTGCGTCAAGTGTTGGCAAAAATGTTTACATGAGTGAAGCATGGGCAAGCAAAAAGCTTTTCTTACCTGTGTTTACTCCCTCCTTTGTCTTATTGCCTGAAAATCAAACAGAGATCACAATCAAATTCAATAATGAAAAATAAAATAATTATTGGATTTATTCCATTAAGAAAATCAGTTCAAGTGATGAAACATATATATATTCTTAGTTTTGATAACATTTCTTAGCAGCTGTTGAACCCATCACTAAGACTTAATATGCCTTCTGAGCATGTCAGGCTAGATATTCATTCTCTTCTAAAAATACATTTAAAGACTGATGTGTTTCCCTGCTGAATTTGCCCTTTTTTGTGTCATTGGGTTGCTTCATTTATGGTGATCTTTATCTTTCACTCTTGCAAACTAATTGTCTGTATGTATGATCTCTTGAAACCTCAGCTGAGTTGATATTCATGGTTTATGAACATACTTTTAATTAGAAACATGCTATGAACAGCAGCACCTTGCTATTTCCCCCTTTGCTCAGAAACACTGTGCTCATTTCAGTATGATCCCAAGCAGATTAAATTGTGGTTATATAATCTGGCAGATTGAGGGGATAGAAATAGAGAAATATCTGTCCTAAAAAGATGAATTGGAATAATGGTGGGAAGGTATAAATATAAATATATATATAAGGGAGGAAAGGAAGAAAAAAAACCCCGCAGAATCACACGAGTTCTTGCACATTAACTGTTCTCTTTTTGCTCATTGACACAGATGCTGCCCTCGTGCATCCAACCATCCCTGCTCTGTCTCCTGTTCTCCTCCATCTTTCTGCACGCTCCCTGTGCTACATGAGCCACGTGCCTGAGTACTGAGCAGTACTGCAGTACAGCCCCACACACACACACACACACACACACACACACACACACACACACACAATGCAATGACACAGCTTCTCTCTCCCAGTCAGCAGAGGGAGCCCCTGGGTGTCACTTACAATATCTGTACAGGAGCCGGTGCTTATCTGCCTCTGTCGACATCACACAGATTAAACCGTACCTATGAAAGTTTATTTTTCTGATTGATCTCTCAGCTTTGCTTTTAGATGTTAATTTAAAAAAGGATTTGTGCAGATGCAATTCCAGGTGTTGCATAAAATAATCCTGTCCATAAATGATAGTCCAGATCCAAAGCTTGCCTAAATAAATCAAGGTTGTGTGGATTATAGTTTTTGAATGCCTTTTACTATTATAAATTAATAATAATTAAACATGCAAATAGGCTTTGGTCCCTTATTCTAGAGGATGATTTGTGCTTTAGCACTTATTTAATGAAAAAAATCATATCTATGAGGTTATTTGATGTGTTTGCAGCTACATGAAACATTTAAATAATGTACAAAAACATTATTGTGTGTGGACACGGACACACTATCTACAGCTGTGTAGGAGTGGTAAAAAGCAAAGATCTGTCTTATACACAAAGAATGATAATAAACTAAAGCTTTGTAAGTTATAACAGGATGAGAGGGACCAAAAGAGAACTGCCAAGCACACATCCTTTTTTAGAAAAACATGTAATGTTAATGCAGGTAATCATCTTTTCGATTAACTGTTTTAAGGGGCGTTTTCAGGCTCAAAATTCATTCACAAAAATTGTGCAGTTACATTTTCCAATCCTAATCAATCAATTCTAATAACCAGAAAAAATACCCCTGTAAAAAACCCAGTGATGGAAATATACAACTATATTCTGTTAACTAAGCTGTTAAAATGAATCTTAAAATGTGTTATTTGGAGCTGTTTTGTTGCTGCTTTTGTCCAGTGACTGTGTTGTGTTGTTATATTTTAATCCCAGATCACATCATGCTGTCTTTCCAGGCTTGACCTGTTGGTGAGAGTGGGCCTTCAGACCACCATATACCCACATTTACATCCTGACGTCTGCACTCTGCTGCAGGCAGATACAGTGTTTTATCAGAGCTATCGACCCTCCTCACTTCAGTGATCACATCCCCCTCTCCTTCCCATTCTCTACCTCCTCCTGTGCTGTACTCGTTCATTTTTCTTTTTTCTCTCTTTCCCTTTTCTCTGTGTGTATCAGTCTACTTGTACCCCCTCCCCTCTCCTCATTACCTGAGTCTTAACCTTCATCTTCATCACCCCTCCATCACCCCTCCATCACGTCAACTCTCTCTCCCTCTCTTTCTGTCCCTCCATCTGTTCATCCACAGGACCAGAAGCTCAAAGCCTTTACCGACATAACCTCCCCCCTTGTCTCTTCTTTCTCTGCCCCCCCCCCCCCCCATGCATCCATCCATCCTTCCTCCTTTCTGGGATGGGTGGTGGGGGTGGTATTTTCATAACTGTAGGGGAGGAAGATGGTTAGTCATCAAAGCAGCACACACTGTCGGGCAAGATCCTGCACACGCACATCCACGTACTTGCCTGAACACAACGACAGGCTGAGGGTGAATAGGAGGGGGGTCTGATGATAGCAAATTGCTGCAATGCTCAAATGATCCTTGCTCCGTCTTCTTCACCTTCCTCCCCTCTTAGTCCCCCAGTCTCCTGATACTGACCCCTTGATTTTTTAAATACTAAATATCTCCTACAAGATAGAGATTTTCAAGCTGGACTGCTGGAAGGCAACGACAAGACTTCCACTTCGCTAACTCCTCACCCACCCTCCTTCTTTCATCCCCCCCCCCCCCCCCCCCTCCCCTTCCCTTTCTAGCGGCCCTAAAAGCCTGCTACTCGGGGTAACCTTGAGATGTGACGCATTAGCTGCTCCAGCTAACATAAGAGTACACAAAAGAACAGCATGTTCAAAAAGCCTCTAATGCATTTTTAAAATGTACAAATTCCTATTTTCTGGCTATTTTCAAAAGGTCTGTTCTCAATTTCTTATATTTGAATTGATGCATTATTTTTGAAGTATCTGTGAGAAGAATTAAATGGTGGTCCTGTAAATATAGGTCAGCTTCTTTATTTTTAAAAAGGTTGAGGACAATTTGGCTACATTGAGTCGATCCCAAGACGTCACTCTGCAAACTGCTACACGATGTGAAAAAATAGGCCAGGTGCTAAAATCATGGGGCTGCGCCATCACAAGATCCTGCAGAAATCTCCTCTCCTCCTCTTCTCTTCTCCTTTTTTATTACCAATGACAGATGAAATTTAACTTTTGCTTCTTCTGTCTACTCCTTCAATCTTTCAGACCCCCCACCCTCTGCCCTGCACCAGTCCTGCAGCAATACCCTTCCTCCCCCTCCTCTTCCTCTGCTTCTGTCACTTCTCACAAGGGTCCCAGACGTGGACACCCATGGGACCCCACCTCAAAAACAGATGATGCAAAAAAAAAAAAACCCAGCTCCATCCAAACTAACCTTATTTTCTGCTACTCAGTGCAGCTCCATAAATAAGATGTTACATACCTACATACATCACCCCTTCCTTGGTCTTGGCTGCTGCCTCCTCCATGCCAGCTTTGGTCTTCTCTGCAGCGGCCACCACCCCCTCCTTGGCCATGGAGAACCCCTTCATCAGTACATCCATTTTGGGCGACGAATCTGCTCCCCTGCTCCAAACGGGCCTGGCTGACTGGCTTTGCTGGTGCTTACAGTGAGCGTGTGGAAGAGATGATGTGAGATGACTGTGCGTGTCCGTGTGAGTATGCGTGGGTGAAAGTGTGTGTGTGAGACGGTGGCTCCTCCTCCCTTTGGTGCTACAACAGAGGACTGAGAGGACCGCACAGCAGGGCTACAGCACGCAGACTGAGAGCAAGAGGGGGGGGAGGAAACAGCCGGTATGCACGAGATGGAGAGAAGGGGAGGAGGAGGAGGAGGAGTGACGACCGGATGCTGCAGCATTTTCAAGTTATGCTGCAATCCCGCGCCTCGACCACGCCTCCATCCCTCATCCATCTTTCTCCAGATGATTCTCACTCATGCTCGACTCAGCCCTCTGGCTCGCGCCCTGCATATTTTGATTGACAGGCTGCTTTGGACACACCTTTCTGGATGCTGAGCTTGTGCTAGATGTTACATAATCAGTAGAGCATCAGCGCTTGAGCAAAGAGGATTTTTTTTCTGACATCATATGCCTTGTGAGATTTTTGCCACATAATCTCTGATCACAATACACAGTTAGCCCCGAAGATATGATTCATCCATGTTCAACAGTTTGTCCTTTACTATTTTCTATATATGTATTCAAAGTGTTGCTTTACGGAATCTAGCTGGATTCAGAGAGACAAAGAGAGTCCCTGCAGCTATTTTTATTGTTTTGAGAGGAGACAAAATGCTTTGTCATCTCCACCTGGGTGAGTCACAACTTCCCCTCCCTCTGTTTCCTCATCATCGTCCCAATTCTTCTAGACATGCCGACTCAGCAGCACAGTAAATCTGTGGGTAGTTTTGATATGAAACCAGCTACATTTCCATTCTACCTTTTAACTAAAATGGAGGCAGGCAGAAATAAATGAATGGGGACAGAAAAGCTGCTTAAAATCTACAGTTATTGGTCCATATTCCTATAAAAGAAAGGATAGTAAAGCAATTTAATTTGAATAATGCTGTTTTGCAGAGCTGACCTGTCAGGCTTAGCAGATATCTGCTACCCTCTGGTGGTCATTAGAAGTGTGTGACAACATGACACAGCAGTACGGACATCTTTTACATACAAATGACTGTAATTGAAAAGATGTTATCTTGAAATGTATCATTTGCACAAAAATCTCAGGTTTGTCACAAGCTTTCTAAATCAAATTGCAAGTCAAGATGCAACTCATTAAGCTTTCTGTATACTAATCATTTGAATGACACAGCATCCTGAACATCTTTGTTTTAAAGCAGTTAAAACAAGTCCTCATTGTGCCTGAATGTTTCTGCTTTTAACTTATAAGGCAAGACATAAGCAAACACATTTTCAGTCAAATCCTGATCTAAATTCTAAAAAAAATATTTTTATTTCCACCTTCACAAATCTTATTTTTATTATTATCATACTTGTACTTTTTCCTGCAACTTTGCTGTTTTGATTTTATTTCTCATTAGAGCCAGTGTGGGAGGCTATTTTAGCAAACAAACTCTACATGACCACTTTGTTTCCTACACAGCTCCCGGACAAAGTTAGCAACTAGCTTACTTCTGTACTACAATTTCATGAAGCAGACGCTTTTGTACAAAGCAGCTTAAATCTGAGAGGAAACTAAAGAACCTGCTATTTATCTAAGTATAGCATAAGAAATGTATAAACGGTCATTATGGTTGGTGTTTCAGGGATCTACTACAGAAATGCTGTTTCTCTACATTGCTTGATGTAGCTTAGCATGTTGCTGCCAGCTAAGAACGAACCTAAATATTCTGCGTAAAGCAATTAGCGTTCTCTTTCGGAATGATTCCACTAAAAAATGTCTGTCAATATCAAATGTGACACCATTCACACAAGGTTTTTTTTTTTATTCACAAAATCCAGAGTGACACGTTAATTTCACTGAGCCGTCTGGTTTAAAGAAAACATTTATTCACATTGATATCAGTACATTTTTTGAGTGCATATTTAACATAATGTATTTGTGCATGTAGTTAAATCTCTGTGTTTGTCCTCGTGTGCCTTCTCACAAGCATGCATGTAATATTAAATTCCTCATGTTCTTAAATGAGGCGTATGTATTCTACTGCATGTAAGCCATGAAGGAAACATTATTCACTTCTGCATCTCACCTTGAAGTATTATTTTTTTTATACAAATTCCCTTTAATTTATGAGAGACAGAACCCAACAAACAGAAAAGAAAGAAAAGGAAAAACCCAAATGCATTATCAGGTCTTAGCAGCAGACATACATTTGACAGGTAATACTGAGCTAATGAACACATAGCATTCTCACACTAACATTTAGTATCTCACATTCTACTAATCTACACTACAACACTATCTCACATTCCCGTGGAGTTTCCTCCTCCTGCTCCTTTTTCCATTATAATGTATCCTCTCCCCTTAACTCCTGTGCTTTTGTCCATTTCCTCCTGAACATGTCCCCTCTTTCACTTTCTCTCCTGCTCCTCTTTACTCCTGGACATTGAGGATCTGTGAAGACAGCCCCTGGTGCCAATTCTTCAGCTTGGCAAAGCGGGGTCCTTTCACTCCGACTCAAACCTCTCCCTAAAGATGTGGAAGTAAAGACAAGGCTTTCATTAGGTAATTACTCTTAATGCAATTCCAGAGGAACTATTCAACAGTGAGATAAATGAGAAGATTGATACCACTCATTTATGTTCAAGTAAAAGCTTCCATAAAGCTTGTTAGCTTAGCAGACTATTTTTCTCCCTAACCCCTTATACCTGGCCTGGCTGAAGGCAGGCTAGCTGTTCACTCCTGCTTCCTTTTGCAATGCTGAGCTTCATTTCACCTTGCTTTAGCTTTATATAAAGTGCAGAGACTAAGTTGAGAGTCATGTCAATCTTCTCATCTAACTTTCGGCATGAAAGAGTATTATCTTATTTGCCAAAATGTCAAGTATTTCTTCAAGAGACTAAGCTCAACGAGACTGATAACTGCTCTGTCTTTGTTCACACATTACCTCGACTTCTGCAGGGCTTCCTCATCTGGGTCTTGCACTGCATGGAGAGAAAAGAACAAGAGGATTTGGTACGGATGATCACTGAGTCTGAACAAGAAGTGAAGATCAGCAGAGATGAGTATCACAAAGATCAAGGGGTAGGAAAGAATAGAAAGGGGAATGAATATGTGAATGATTAATCTTTTGTACTGACTGTATTCAGTGCCAGTGATGTGGGCCAGCATCCTGAAGCTCTTGGACTGCAGGTTTGCAGCACGACGAGCCCATTCAGACATATCCACACTTGCCTCTCCTGGCCTGATCACTGCCTGGTAAACCGGAGACGCGCAGTCTACCACAGGGTCCTTAACAGGCAGAGATCCACTGCAGGGCAGACAGTAATATTAGAGCTGTGTGAGTGTAGTGTGCACTGTATGTAAAGGCCCCAAATATAGAAGATGACCATAATGTACTAAATGCCCATGATGCATCAGAAAAGATGGTAAGACCTCAACACTCTCACACTTTGGCCAAAGTAAGTACTTATAAACACATCACTGAGTCCATCATGGCCTCCTGGTTAGTGGGTTTGTCCATCAAAACCTTAGTTTGACACATAAAACCTCAAAAACACACAATGTAACATGGAGAAATACATTTTTAGATTCCAAAATACGTTCAGTGGGATATTAATGAACAAGACACATGGAGCGATGCACAAGCTGTCATAAAATCAGGAGACAGAGGAGACACATGAATGAGGAGAGGCGGGATGGAAAGGGAGCGCCGCTGTACTTACGCCAAGGGGGAGCCGGCTTCCTCACTGAGGTCACAACCAGGAGGGAAGGATGGGGAGGGATGGGTGGAGGACAGCACAGGTTGGTTGTTTGTTTGTGGATGGAATGAGGAGAGGAGAGTGGGTGAAAGGCACAGAGGAGTACGGGGAACGAACACAGACAACATGGAAAAGCCCGGGCATACGGTAAAAGGAGACATCAGAGTCGCAGCAGTTTAGGCTAAACGTAGACTTTTATGGTCCAAAGCTGCTAAGGGTTTGTTATTGAACCCCTTACTGTCCAACCGTTAGCCCCGCCAACATGTTGGAGAAGAGAGTGACCAGGCCACTAAGGGATGCTGTCATAATGGCGGCATTATGACAGCATCCCTTCTCATAGCAAGAGAACAATTCAAGGAACAGACTTTACCAAAACATGTAAATATTGGAATAAAATACTTCAGAGACATAAGAAACAAATCAACTTAGGGCTGCATCTCTGAATGGAGATCAGTCATGGAAACAGCTTCAATCGATTGGAACACTGAGGGAGGGGGTTGGGGGGGGGGGCGGTGTGCTGAAGGGAGAGCTTTGATACATGAATGATTTTGAGAGACTGGAGCTAAGGTGCAGCATTTACTGAACATCTACTCTGAAAGTTGCATATAATACCTTTAAGTGAAGCTCTTTGAATTGCCTTGCTGCTGAAATGTGCTGTATTCATAAACTTGCCTTTAACACCTAAAGAATAACAGTTGTTGTAATTTTCAGCTTCAAAGCAAACTGTTGACAAAGAGTTATTTGTCACAGAAGAATATTCTTTGTAAACCAGCAACTTGACTAAGGTTTCATCTTTTCAGATGACAAATTTAATGTCGCTGCAAAACAAACATTTCATTCGTTAGATACTGCTGGCAGTAACTGATGTGCATTTTGTTTTTATTTGGGTGAACCAACCCTTTAATGTCTTAATACTAAAGCCAGTTTGATTGGTGTGATGTGATGACAAGTGTGTGAGAGAAGGGAGTTTATTAAAGACTGCAGAGGGGAGGAGTCTGGCTGTGCTTGCTCACCCGTCGTGTCCCTTGGCCTGCGACTGCCCTGCAATGGCGTCCATGATGGCGTCCTGTGAGTACATGCTGATTGGTGTGTTGTACTGGGCGTGAACAATGGTGGCCTTTCCTCCCGGACCCTTCACCTCAATGGGCTTGTGGGTGCACATTGCAGAGTCTTTCAGAGCTATGGGGTTGAAGCTGGGAGTGTACTCCACACTGTCAGGGTCAGAGGTCAGCGGGTCGAAGAAGAGGTGGGGACATGGGGGGAGGGGGTCAGGTGCAGGGGTGAGGATGAGAGGTCGAGAGTCAGGGTGAGGCGGGAGGAAATTAGAGAGGAAAGAAATGAAGGGAAGGCACCACATTGAAAGGAGGAAAATACAACTCTGACCCTAATGAAGCAGTGTGCCAGTTCTAACCATGTTCTGATTTAAAGCATTTTCATATAAGGTACGGTTTGAGTCAAAGAGTGAAAAAAAATCTCATTAACTCAAAATATATTATTGAGGAATAAAATCACAAGAAAAGGCGACATGAATAAATTGTTTAAATTTAAACTATTAAATAAAATACTAAATTTAAACTTTTTTTTTAGTGCAAAACGAAACAAAAAAATTAAGGAAAAAGAAAATATAGTAAACTAACCCTATGTTTACTAACTGCTTTCATTTGCTATAAAAGTAGGAACACTGCATGATTATCTAAAGGCTCTGTCCATTATGACTAAGAGCTAAATAACAAGCTAGATGAGTTAACATTTCACGCCAGGCCAGAGCAAACCAAACATGCTGATGTTCAAGAAAATCAGTTAGGACAGGTTGTCACCTGCAGGACTGAAACAATTAAAAAAATTAAACAAAACATATTCACACATGATGCTGGTGTTTTTTTCTCTCTGATACATACATGGATGTAAAAACACACTAAGTGTCACTTCCCATGCATTATTCTAAAACAGTGATATGATTTAATCTTCATAATGTCACTTAGTGTAAATGAAAGCTTAAGAGGACTAGCAGTGGAGGAAAGCAAGAAGAGATATTGTAATACGAGTTCAGTATGAAATGCTGAATTCAAAAAAATAACTTTCATTTTGTTGAAGAGTGGAAATGAGAAGGTTACCCTGTATATGTTAAAGTCAAACTATTACTGATAATTCTTATTTGTAAGTAGCATGGCTTCACAAGTCTTCACAAAGTATGTTCAGTACATTTTTTAATTACATTGGTGCAAAATAAATGTAATCAAATGGAGAAAAAGTAGAACATGTCACATAATAAACTCTTGAAAAGTTGGGATATCTCTAAGCTGTGCTGAGGTAATGGATGTTAGTAGCTGTTCTTTTTGACATACCACTTCTGGGCTCCTGGGATTTGTTAAAAACACGTCTTTAACTGTGACGTGAATAACACACAGCACACAAATCCATAATGAACACAGCTTCACTCCACACCAAAATCACTAGTGACAGAACTATCTACCGCTGTCTCTACAGAAGCACACTTCATGCATGAAGCTCTGAAAAACATGACAGTACTGACTTTGCAGCTGTGTTGGCAATGACCTAAAACACACCGGAGACACAAAGAGAAGAGAATGATAATGAATCACCACACAGATATTTGAGTGGTTACAATGGCATCGTGTGTGTTTGTAGGAAACTATCCAGATCCTCTGATTTACTGTAATCCCATGTACAGGTCAGAATAGCAGCCATTCTCATCACCGGGATATTTCCCAGCTTCCCCTGCACCATTAGGAGTGACTGACAAGAGCAGCAGTGTCTCAATCACATGACACAGGACCAGGACACATTTAGCACAGAACAGCCACGAATACACACAGCGACACAAACACAACACCTGATCAACTTGAGTCAGGACTCCAGGAGTCACAGACGAGACGGCGTAGTTGAGTTTCACTGAGGTCCCACAGAACGATACGTAATGCTTCAATGTAAGGTTTTTAAAACAACACCTTCAACACAAGTTTTATGAGCTGAACAGACATGAAACATTTTCAGAGCTGTTCTGTTAATAAACAATAAACTAAAGCCTTTGGGGGGAAATACAAGATAAACACTCGACACCTCTGCTCATTAAAGAAAAAGGCTTTTTTTAGTGTTCAAAATTTTTGCCCCATTTATTGTTGCCAGCAAAGATCATGGACAAATAAGGAGTGTTGATCAGTCGTTCACACCCTGATCTGTTTGTACAGGACTGCCTCTAAAAGTTGATTTTTTTTTTCTCCCAAGTTGAATCTCTGCCAATTGCATATTTGTAGGTGCTTGGTTTGTATTTTGTTTGGATTCCTTGAATGTTTTACACCCTTAACAAAGTTTGTTCTGGCCACAGAATTAACAGGAAGCATCGCCTCATATCCTAATCAAACAGAGCAGGTTATAAAAAAAAAGCAGTAAAAACCCAGAAAAACATTCTGACGCTAAACAAAAGTCAAAATATTAATATAAATATAATATAAATATATAAAAATATAAATTAATATAATATTATAAATGTATGGACTGATTCTTTTGACGTGTTTTTGAGTAGCAGATCTATTATTAAATGATGCTGCTTTTTTTCTTATTTATTTTATTTTTTTATGACAATGAATATTGGAGTTGAATAATTTTAAGAAACGATAATGAATTTGTATTTTTTTGGTGTGTTGACACAAAAATCTAGCCTGAAATAGATCGAAGACTAAAACTTCTAAAACTGCAGTCAACCCCACATAAAACCTGCAGGATTCTATTGGACCAAAAGGAGAAGCGGATACTGGGTGAAAATATGCCAAATAGCTGATGTGTGACTTTTTCTAGTGATTGTTTCACAGAAATGATAGTGTATGTTTTGTACAAAAAATACCTCTTTTGATTTAACGCCACAAGAGTTTGCGGAAACAATCATTTGGCTTTGGATTGCAGCCCATTTCTGAGACTTTACAGTTGTATCATTTTGTAAATAACCCTGAAATTAAATAGTAGGAACATTTACACAAACTGCCTTGGTCTGTCAGACTGCTATTTACCTGAACTTCTTTGCTTTTCAGTATCAGTCTGAGTTTGTTCGGGTGAGGGATACCGGCTTGAGAATTTGCAACACATAAATCAGACGGTGGGTTTGTCCATACAGTACGTGATGCGTTCAGGGTACAGTATGCTAACGTGCTGGGAAGAGACCTCACACGTGATACATCTCCCCAAAGAGAGGGGGAGCTATCTCAGGTTTGGTATCTCGGGGATTCGGTATGATGGTGTGTAACCAGAGCGGAACATTCCATGACCACGTTCAACAGCTGCTCTCTCCTGTGTGTGTGTGTGTGTGTGTGTGTGTGTGTGTGTGTGTGTGTGTGTGTGTGTGTGTGTGTGTGTGTGTGTGTGTGTGTGTGTGTGTGTGTGTGTGTGTGTGCGCGTGTGTGTTTGTTGGCTTGTGTTAGAGCCAGTGGAATCAGAGTCTACATGAACTGGGTGAGGTGAGGCCGCTGGCATGATACTGCCGTCATCGCTCTGCCGTCGGCCTGGAGCACGTTTGCTGCCTCCTGACTTACCGTTAGCTGTCGCTGTAAAGCCGCTCGGCTCCAGAGGGGAAACACATTAGTGGAGGCTGATACCTGGATGTGATATGTCAGAGGCCAAGCAGATTGTGACCTTAATTAACTTCTGAAAGTATTCCATGGCTGAGGCTTCACCCAAGCTCATGCCAACTCGCTGAGGAGATTTCCATCAATGTGGCCACAACCGAACTTTTGTCGATGTAGTCAAGAAATACAACCTAAGCCTAAATGTTTAAACCTGTATTATAAAAATGACTTGGTGAAAACTCAAGAAAACTAAGTGGTTAGTTTGCGCGCCAAATGTACGGATGCTGTAGTCCTCAAAGCGGGTTTGAATCCAACATGTGGCTCCTTTCCTGCATGTTATACCCCACTCTCTCTCTTTCCCTGATTTCAGACTCTTTCCACTGCCCTGCCCCTTTTGTCCCCAAAGGCACAAAAATAAATCTTAAAATAATCGATAACACCTGATTGTCACAGTGTTCTACTAAGGAAATTGTAAATATAAAAGACACAAAATGCAATGCGATCGATGAACTGGTGCTTAAATGGGGCGCCAGTTAGCCTAAGTCCTCATTGCAGCGGAAATAGGTCCGAAGCTGATCTCTGCCCTTTGCTGCATGTCATCCCCCCCTCTCTCTCCTCCCGACATTTCCTGTCTCTCTTCAGCTGTCCATATCCAATAAAGGAAGAAATGTCCCAAAAATATACCTTCAAAAGAAAAAACTAACTGAAATTAATTTAAAATATTTATTTTTAATGATAAAGAACTAAGGTAACCCACAATGTGTTTTTAGGAACACATGTTTTAGGCGCAAGAAATTGTAACCTCCTTGAAACCTCACCAGAAATTTAAAACCACCAAAAAAGCTTAACAAGCAAGTTTCCGGGCGTTAAAGGATTAAAACTCTGCTTTAGGATTTGCATTCGTCACGGCATTAGGGAAAAGAAGGAGCTGTATTTGCCTGAAGAAAAAAGCATCAAAGAGGGAAATCCGGGAGCTGAAGCATCAAAAAAAGAAAAAGATTCTTTGATAAGGTTTTCTTTTTACATCATCATTTCCCTGGTTTCATCTTTTTTTTTTTTTTTGAGCCTGCACCATTCAAAATGTCTTCTGTCCACATGAATCATATTTAAGTTTGATTTTGAAAACTTTCAGATGTCATCTGAGGGTTCAGAATGGGGCACTGAGTGCTCGACCTTTCGTTAAGTGTCTCAGAACTGCCTGTAATGAAAATCCTGAGAAGACCCTGCACCCTGATCTCCTGCTATTCTGTTACCTGGAGGCCAGCCAGGTATGTTTGTGTGTACCATCCCGATATAGTGCCAGTGTGGGATAGAGATGGAAAATTCAGAGTATATTTTCTCACCATGGTGATGTTAAATTGGGAGGGGTTTGTGTGCATTTTGATTCATTCCTTCAGGGAGCAAATCATTGTTATTGATTGTTTTGTAAGTTTACTAAGTGTGTGTGTGTGTGGGGGGGGGGGGTAAAACCTTCTCTATGTGTGTCATAACTGGAGATTGTTTAAAGACAGATACTAGCTGCAAAAAATGATCCTTACTTGATCTGCCTTGTCCTGTACTAGTGTAATATCTCAGACAGCTTGGTGGAGATGCAGCCGATGGTTTGAGGGAATGAGAAGCAGAATGTTTTGTCTTAATTAATTAAAGACAGTGTGAATATATGACACTAAGGGGCAGCAGAACACTGTCTGTTGGTATCTTTTAAGCCCAGTAATGCTGAGAACCTCATTAACACAGGACAAGACTACAAAACACAGACATGCAAACAATCACACAAACATGTGTATGTATGCACATTTACTTATTGTGTTTGCACGTGTAGTTGGTGTTCTTTTGTTTCCATCTATTGATTTGCCCTTTATTGATATGGGTGTGTTCATACCTTCTGGTGGGGGATCATTTGCATGGGTGAGTCCATTCTTTGAGTTGTTGTGGCAACTAGTGCAGGACGTCTTGATCTATAGAGAAAACAACAAATAACCTTATTCCCAAACTCCCAAAATGTATTTTGGCATTTCCCTCATCTAACATTTTTGAGTGTTTTGGTGTGAGTGCCGCTGGTTGTTTACTTCTGCATGGTGAGTGACAGTTTGTGGACTGCAGACTTGATCTTGTTCTGGGCCTCCAGGTGCGTCATCCCCTCAGTGCTGACCCCATCGATGGCTGAGATGATGTCTCCCTGGGCCAGGCTGCCTCCCACTGCTTTGCTGCCCGGAGTTATCTATGGAGGGGTCAAAAGAGCAGGTCATACTGGGACCACTGACACGGATTCCACAGGGAAGCACACCAGCAAGTCCAAAACATATGCAGTTACATGTTACTTATCGGAGGGATATTTTGGACGTATAAATTATCACCCAGGGTGGCTGTTGAAAAAAATAAATGAAGAGCTTTTAATTTTTCCCCTGGTCTGAATAACATTATATGTGAATGGATGCTAATGAATGCGTTGTGCATAGCAGGTCAGTAAATAAGCCCTAAAAGTAGAGAAGCTGACAAAGCAAAATAAAGGGATCCAGTAGAAGTAGAAACTTCTGTTTTTATTTGATCAATGGAGTGGAAGTGCATTTTAACCTCAGAAGCTTTAAATAGAGCTAAAATAGAAAAAACAGACAAAAGTAGCAGGATTTTGTTGTTTTAAGGACAGAAGTGTTGTATCCATAGATTGTATATAAAAACAGGACTAAGCTCTGGTTACCAAAGTTAGGTTAAGGCACCTTAAATCTGCATTCTTTCTAACAGCCACAAGGGGGCACTGCAATGGCAATAAGAAACCAGATGAGAAATTAGATTTAGGTCTCTATTACTAGTTTCAAGGCTAATACAATACATCCTAATGTTTAGTAAATGATTGATTATCTAGTCAAACCGATAATAAACAGGATATTCCTGATTTGATGCTACAAGGGTGACCTGACAATCAGGAAAGGGATGTGACACCCTGGATTTCAAATACTGTCACTTATGGTTTAAGAAAACAAACAACAGGTGACTATGGCCACAATGCCAAATGCAGGCTTCAGTGGAGAGTGCAGTGAAACCTTGTGTGACGTCATGGTGGCTTGGTCTGCTTCTATTATATACAGTAAGTGTGAACTTTAATGTTATGTTTTTGTCATGAATGAGTCCAGTAGTAGTTGAATGTATTTTTTATAATGGTTAAAACCAATAAAAATTAGCTTTTCTTTTGCAGGTAATATTAACCTTTTTTTCCGTTCACATTTTTTTTGTGTGTGTGTTTGATTTGCAAAGAAGCACATGTTCAATAGTCAGCTATTTATTGACCTTGAGATAAATCCTCATTCTCCCGGCTCAGTCCGCCACAAAGCCTGACTTAAACTCCACAGAGAGGAGGTTTAAATGAGCTCAGAGGCCTGCAGGCACATACAGTATCGGGTCTAAGCTTACAGTCGACTCGTTAAAGAGTTAAAAATAAGCAATGCTGTTGATGCCGGCCTGGCTTCGCTGTGATTGACTCTGTTCAGCCCCTCCCAAACACGCACACACACATACACACATACACACAAACAGACATACACTAACACACACACTATACCCCTCCCACACACCTGCTACTGACAGTTACACAAGACTTCCTCAATTCTCTCCTACTTCTTGCGTTAACGTCTTAAATCCACAACTTTTGTCCACATCATCATCATCATCATGTCCCCTCCTGTTACCTTTCTCCTTTTCCGCCTGCTCTTTTGCGTTTTCCACCCCTTTGTATTTCATTTATCACGCCTACCAGAGAACCAGGAGCCTTCAGTATGCAGGACGATATTAGGCAGAGAAGATGTTTTCTGCACGGCTTCCTTAGTGTAATCAAACACACATGTAGACACACAACACTGCCGACCACTCCGTCATGCATGTTTTTATAAGCATCAAACAGGAAGTGGATATGAATGCTGAGGCCTTGATAATTGAATGTTAATGAAAGAGCAACACTGGTTGGATTTCTGAGTGTTTGTCTTCTTCCATCAACAAGTCAGCTGATCACAGAAGAGCTGTTTTTATTATGTATGTAAATAAACTAAGTGTCTTGAATGACACATCTTGAGGCACCTATTTCAGGCTTATTTCATAGTTTTAAATCAAACCCTACTAAATTCATACACAATGACAAAACGGGAGTTTAAAAAATGTTGGTGTGTCATATATTTAATGGTCAGTTCTTCAGCTTGGCTAACAAGACTTAAGAAAAATGTTTATCCTCATTCCTCTTTCCTTTCTTAGTTCTTAGCAAGAGCAGGCCGAAATCCAAACCCTGGCAGTGCTACGTCAAACTGTAACGGCAACCTGAGGTGTCACGTCAAGCTGAAGTGTTTTATAATAACCTGCCAGAGCCGGACACGACCAGAGGATGAACACAAATCCACAGTCACAGGAGACGTGGATCAAAGCTGCCCCCCTATTGTCTATTGTCTGTCTTGCAACTCGTGTGTGAAGCTGTGGATCAATAAAACACACAAGCTGATCACCAACTGAGCATCAATCTGGACTGACGAATGAGGAGCTGAAGGTAGGGAAACAGAACTCATGTTTCGCGTTGTTCTACCTGTCTTCCTCTGAATCCAACAAATGAATCCCTTTACAACATCACGCTCCAACAGATGAAATTAAAGCTATCAGCGGGGAATGAAAGCTTACTAAAGGTAACACTAGCACCATTAGCTTCCCCTCTCTCTCCTTGCTTCTTTCCTGCCCTCTTCCCCTGCCCAAGCCCCTCTCCATCCATCTCCATCCAACTCTCCTCGAGTGCTATTTAAAGGAAATGCTGTAAATACACCAACAGTCCTGCCAAAGAGAGAGAGTGACCCCATATCTCTGCTGCTGAAGTTTTTGTTTTCTGTAAACTCCATTTCTCCTGAAACTTGGCTTATTTTAGACAAACGATTATCTCTACCGATTGTTGAGATTTTAAAGATTATAAAATTGTTCATTTGCTGCCCTTGTTGTGATGTAGTTTCTTTACTAAATCACATTGTCAAAGGTTGGAAAATGGTCTTCAACATTGACATGAAGTGTAATTTTGAAATGACATCTAATATGCAAAATATGTGACTGACAGAATCAGTCTAATTGACAGAATCAGTCATCCTTAATCAAATATCTTACTGCTACAAACTAACATGTTACTCCACTACGCTGATGATACATTGATGTTCTGACAAGCTGAATGCTTTTACACTTTGATGCAATCAAAAGGTTAGGGTTTTTTTTTTTTTTTTTTAAAGCTTTATAAGTTGACTAACACAGCAGCGCCTCCACTCCAGTCAAACTATTCCAGTCTTTCCACTGTCGCTCTATTCTAGAAATCTCTCTGGAGATATCATCTGAGCCCCCCTGTCATCATCACATACAGTACAGCAACATTACATAACGGCTACAACCTTTGCTCTAACACTGAAACACGTACACTTTTGCACAAACAGAATGAATCTGAATGTACATTTGAATCATTTTGAACATGCACCATGTTTGTGTCCAACCAGGGGATATCTAGGTGAAGAGGTTGAGAAGTAGTTTCAATTTGGGGTTGGCTTCACTTATAGACATTTAAATGTCCGAAAATAAGTAAGTGTAATCCTTCCATCAAAAAAAAAACGTAGCGCTTCGACCTTATAACTTTTTTCTGCTGTGATAGTGTCACATATTTTTACCTGCATACCACCATTATTTGCTCAGGAATGTGTTTACATTATCATGTAATTCTTTTATTTGTGAGCAGATCAAGTCACTGTTCATCAGTGCACTGCAGTCTGCGGGGACCATCTGTAGTTTGAGTTTTGAATCCTGAGCTATTTTGTCATAATACATCATAATGTTACTCTGCTTTGTTTGTCACAGTGGATAATCAGTTTCAATGTCACATTGCTTATTTCTTTTGGCTTTATTTATGAGTTGCTTTGTCACAACAAATCTCACTCTTTTACAGGGCGACTCTGTCCTTACCCTAGAGATGGTTAGTGGCATGTTGAAGTCCTTTCCTCCCTGTAGTCTGAAGCCCCATGGAGCGGGGCCATTCAGAGTCACTGTGTACGCACTCATCTTCGGTTAGATGTCAACACTCCTCCTTTAGACAACTCCTGCTGGCTGTGGCTTCTCCTCCTGCTCGGTGTGCCCTTGTTCTCCTCGTCCTCCTCCTGCTATCCTTTTTTTGTCCCTGACGGCGCCGCGGTGCTTGCTTCTTCTCCGTAAGCCCTCAGTTCTCTTTACCGTCTCTCCCCGTCTGCACCCAGCGTTCAGGACAAACACCCTGTGGTTGTGGGTGGTGGTGGTGGGTGGGTGGGTCAGGTGCTGTTGAACCTCTGTGACACACACACACACACACACACACACACACACACACACACAAATACACACACATATAGATGAACACACTCAGTGAAATGACACAGCTGTTGCAGGAGGACAGCCACAAAAAAAAAAAAGTTCTTACCCAGAAATCAAAACGTTTAGAGAATTACAAACTTTAAAAAGTCAACTTTGATGTTAATGTTAAAGGAGAAGAGTTTCTTGCCTGCAGAGTTGCTGAGGGTGAGGGGACACACAGCCTAAGAATAGCTGAGGTGAGCTGAGACACGGGGGCCCTGGTCCCTTATAAGGCCAGTAACATGAAGCCCCAGAATGCTTCACTGCCGATTCACATGGCCAATATAGACCCCTCTTACTGCAACACATTCTCTCTCTCTGCTTCTCCCTCTCTTTGCCCCTCTCATATAGTGCTATCACTTCTTGCTTCTAGCACCTTATTATCAGTAATAAGCCTCTGTGCACAAAAGTCAGCCGCTCTGCAGCCTCGCAGTCTTTGCTCGGGGAAGGAAACAACAAATTACTCAGTGTTGATGCCCTAGAAACAACCCCACCAAGCGTCCAGCCCTCTGTTTGTGTGTGTGTGTCAAAGTAATTCAATTAGCAGCAAACCACAGCTGTTAAGGTTAAGTGAAGCAAAACAAGAGATTGTGACATAGGCGGTGAAAGACTTGTATTTTTTTCTTAAACCATGTCTTATTGTTTTTGTCAGTATCAGTCACACATGCACCTCTAAATAAAAAGGGTTTGTTCTCAGGTGTAACAGGGTTAGAATCGTGTTTCTATCACCTATCAGGTCTTATATCTTCACCAGTAGCTGGAACTATAAGTCCACATTGACAGCACACTCAGTTCCAGATGTTGAAATGACATGGTTTGTGTTATGTAGTGGATACGGCTAAATTGACTTCACCCATTTTTTTAATTATTTTTTGAAGCCCTGAATTCAGCGTTATGGTTGTCACCATCTTGTTTTTTTTCAGATGCCATAAGTGACCATGTTGCATTAAGGGGGCGGAGCTGGACAGTTGTGGATGTTTGCGTGGGCGAGTTTATCCGGGTCATTCCTCAGGCTAATTTGTTAGCCAGCTCATTAGATAGTTAACGTCGTTAAAAAAGTCGTTTAGGGAAGTTGTTAACAGATAAGAGTGCAGTTGCTAGTTAGCGCTGACAAGCGAGGGGGGAAGTGATGCTGACGAGCGCAGCTGACTGTGTTACAAACATGGAACTTTTTTCAACTGAGAGATCTGACACTTTTTGGCGTTTTGGCTTAGGAAGCTGAACTGCATTGGATCAGAATGTAAAAAAGGCGGCGCCAGCTCAAAAAACACAGTGTTGGTGAAGACAAAAAACTTTCTTCTTACTGTGAAGTAAGGCATTTTAATATGGTTATTGATGGGCATTGACTCACTTTTAGTTCCAGTCTCAATTTGCAACATGTAGAACAGCAGATTTTGGCACTTTAGTGTTTGCTTCATTTTTTCAGGCCCTGGAATTGTTTGGTTGGTGTAAACTTATTTCAGCACTTCTAAACTTTACTCCTCAATCATTTTTGTTTGAAGATGGCTTAAAAGCACGAGATTTTTACAATAATAGTTGATATGACAAGCCTTTCAGTCAGCAGGTGATGAATGATAAACTATTACTAAAGAGTATTTCATTTATTTTATATTTTGTAGTTTATTTTTATGTGTATTCATTGGTCTGTTTACTGTGAGAATGGCTTATCTTTTTTTTTTTTTTTTTAAATCTATTTGCACTCTATGACAGTATTTACAGGCAGAAGCTCTTCTCACCCAATCACAGCTTCTCCTCTAACCAAAGAAAGACACACATAAAGAAAGACACACATGCATGAACACACACAACAGTGGAATTTACTTTCACACAATGTGAGGCATAACCAGCATGATTACACCCCACTGGATGACACTGTGACACTCTTTTGTGGCTCCCGCCCTTCACCTCTGTGCACATCGCATGGCTGCACATGTTCACACATGTGTTGCAGAGCCTTCAGGCCCGCTAACACACCATGACCCCACACAGGTTCATAACATATCTGATGCACTGTGAGAGGGAAAACGCTAAGAAAACAGAGGCAAGGCGAAATCATCAGAAGACTCTCAGATAATAACAAACAAATCTATGCTTTGACGAAACTGACAAAGAGGCAGTAGAATATTTCATCCACATGAAATCAAACCTTTCTGTTCTGAACATGCTATCTTTTCTTCTTCTATGGTGCATCTCTCTTCTTACCCGAAGACGTTCATTGATTACCTGTTTAGCCTCAGTACAATATAATGAAAATACCTCCCACACAAACACACACACACACACATTCTGCTAGAATTTATCTATCAAGTACTGAACCTATTTGTAGTCATTCACATGTCATGTTACTTTATATTGATACCCACATTTCAGCTGTATGAAAAATGGTTGTTTAAAGCCTTTTTATTTTTCTGCCAGTTTTTGTTACCGTCAGAATCTTAAACACAAAATGTATGAGCTGATCAGTAAGTATAGTAAACCAAAACATTCAAATGTAAACAAACATGTACAAAACAGCTGCTTTATAATAAGCCAATAGATCCAATTACATTTGTATTTTTTTATGACTATAGAGTACATGTGAAATGTTCTTATTGAATGTTCTCTCTACTTCAGGGACATTTGAACATCATCCATCGAGAACTTATTTTCTGATTTCAGTATTGCTTCTTTAACTTAAGCAAAATATCTGAAACCTCTTTGCTGCTTCTTTTCAGAAATTCTGAACGAGTGAAAATACATATAACTCTTTAACACCACATAGTGAATATGAATCTTTAAGTGTGACAAAATGGTGACTTTAATGGATGTAAATGCCTTATTTAGCCCCTCGACCCATTCAAATAAAGTGCCAACTGTGACCACCGTGGGGCGCCATAAAGCTCTGCTAGGATGTCAAGTCCAACATGAGGAAAATAGTTCATCATGTTTGCTTGCTGACATGTTGGTCAGATATGACGTACGCTAATGCATCAGGATGTTCCAGCTGTTATCTGCTGTCCTGGATGGCTCTTCATTCAGGAAACTGACCTAATGATTTCTGAAAATACCGGACAGTCGACACTGATGGACAGATGGCGGATCAGGAGCTGAACAAACCCAATCATTACGGTGCTGAACCTCATGACAGTTTCTAAAGAAGAAAAATAACAGTAACGCACAAGCAGATGGATTGTTGCCTTGAAGGAGAGTAATAATGTGTCCGTATGTATACATCATTTATTTTTTAAATAATCTGCTAAGTCATTTATATTCAAGTCACAAGTGTTTGTTGTCCAATCCGAATGCATTGGCAAGGTAAGGACCACAGAGGCAAAACATGGACACACGGCTACCAGTTGCGCAGAATATAGCAAAAAAAAAATTTATTTATAAAAATAAATAACAGCACAAACATTTCATAAAAAGAAAAGAAATCAACATGAAACCATCACTTCATAAACATCACTTCATTTAAGCAGATTTAAATTCTATATAGATACACATAAATTACTTTTTTTTTTGTCATAATGCCGAAATTTGAGCCAACTTTTTGCTTTTAGAAACATTTTGTACATTCATCAAAGGGACTGAACCACAAATAAGTAACGGAGGGACTTGACAACCTTTTTTCATCAGTGAAGTACGTTCTTAGATTTCAGTTCGGCAGTTCGTCACTTAACAAACACAATAATGACGGCGTGTGTAAGATTGAACTCAACATTACGAAAAGAACAGTTGTTACAATCATAGTCAACGATGCAGCAGTTGTAGGATTTCTCAAAGTGAATTGCAACGTACAATACAAAAGGGGAGAACAATGGCGTTTGGAAATTTACAAGATGCGAACACATACAGTAGTGAGATGGTGTATGATGTAAATCCTGAACCCACACTCTTACAATGGTTTAGTCATTTTGCAAACGGTCAGCTGTAGATCAAATAGGAGATAGTAGAACAAAGAATGGCATCAAGAGAAATACAAAGTACAGTACTGAGTCCGGTTCTTCAGTGCAAACAACAACTCACACTCACATGCTTACACTATTGAACTACGGTGTTATGACACATTTGTGACTTGATTTGGTTATTTTTGGTACTTCATATCACCAGGAATGGGAAAATAAATGACAGAGAGCAAGAATAAGCAAAGAGCAAAATAAACTGAATGTATCCCCACTGATCTGTAAACTGTATGTGCAGTGTGTCAGATGACTGAACTTACATCAAGTATTTTTTAGCACACTAGAGGATAGAAGGGCTGGGATAAACAGTCAGTATTTGCATTAGGAGCAGTGTTTTGGACAGATTTTACTTTACATCTCTGTCCCGTGCTTCCTTTTCTCAGTGTCTGAAGCTGCAGCATTTTATCAGGAAGTAATCTTTCACATTTTTGCATTTTGCACATATGCATCCCGAATGAAAAGCTGAGAAGAAGGTCAACCTGAACTTCAAGGCAGACGTGTTCAATGAATACAAAAAGATATAATATTTGTCATGTGTTGACATTTCCTGAATGAATACATTTGTAAACAGGAAACACTGTTGCTAGAAACGGGCTGCGTTACACATCCTGTAAAAAACATTACAACATGGGTGTAAAGACAAAGATGTCTTTCCTGATGTTAAATGTACTAAAGTGTCCAGTGTCAGTTTGATTCCTGTCTCATTCTGAATCTGTAAATGTGGGATTTCTTAATTTTCCTACTAGCTACCTTTGACATCAACATAAATAAATAAAAAGAGCCTGAAGCAGTGTATAAATAGAGAGCATGGAGATGATTCTCAGAGGGATTGGTTGAGTGACCTGCTCCAAAGGTTCTTGGCAAAAGGACTCTTTTGATTTAATTTAAAAAGTAAAAATGTTTCTCAATACAGTATTTTCAATATCAGTATTCATAGATTATTCTCACAATCATGTAATCGAAAAAAAAATGAGAAAGGAAGGGTAGGGTATAAAAGATTTTTTGACCTGATTTAATTTTTAAAAGAATGATATTGAAAATGCTGATTTGACAAAATTGGCATTAACTGCACTTCTGTCTTCATCGCATCTCAGATATGTACTAACACATATACTCAATGGCAGCCACACCAAACTAAAAAAACAAAGTATTACCTACTAATATTCAACTTCTGTGAGGTTAAACTGAGGAAACTTAACTGTATTTTACCCCCAAAAGACCAGAAAATGTTTTGTCATATATGCAGGGGTGGATGCAGAGTGTTTTTGGGAGGTGTTGGGGTGGGGGCATACATTACATATATTAAACTAACATTGCTCCGTCAACATTAGGAATATGATGGACACGCCCACTCATTAACAATATTCTCAACAGTATCTAGATCTTAGATGCACTTTGGCAAACAAAATCAGCCTTAAATAAATTACATTTGTTCAATTTATTGATCAAGATTGACAATAATTGCATTGCTGTCCACTTATAATTTGCAGCTGAGTCTCGAGTATTGCGATTGCGATTGCGATATTGCCCATATCGCAACACATTGGCTAAGCACATACTCGTAGACCTGGAGCTACACCATGTAGCTACTAGTTTGAGTAGGATTTTGCTCATCAAACGTATAATTTTCCTACATTCGGCGCCTGGCAGGTGATTATTTAAGACCCTCTGTGTGTGGAAGTTTGTGTGGTTGGCATGTGTGTACGTCCGGTTTAGCTGCATTAAGCATGGAGATGAAGTCTACAGGTACAGTAGCTAGCTTGCATGTAATGACTGGCTAGATTTTAGCTTAAGGCACAGCTCAGTTTCTTGTTCTGATGACACGTGTGAAATCCTCAAGAACTCATGTAACCCGGTGATCTTACTTTAAAGGTGCCAATACCTGCAGGACTGTCATCTTCATTTGTAGCATATATGACAAAACATTTTTCAGCTGAAAATATTGTGAACGTTTTTTTTGTAGAACCGAAATTTAAATAAAAATCAAATCAATACCCAAATCTCCAGAGAGAACATTTCACTTTTTTTTTTTTTTTAGGCTACTTTATGGCCTCCAGCTCCGGGGTTAACCATCTTCAACCTCTATGAATGTAAAACACATTTAAATATTGCACATTCACACTCAAAAACTCCCTCTCTGTTGTGCAAATCGATGTAAGTGCATGCTCTGGTTTTGAGTTTCAATCACTAGCGAAACTGCATGCTGGTACAGAAAAGTCCAACGCACGCAAACACACTCACACACTCTTCAAGGATTACACACACGCGTTGCACTTTTGTCTGAACTGTTCATGGTAATACTGTTGTCTCCAGTCTGGCTATGTCCAGTGGCTCTCTGGCAACTGGGCTGTAAGATTTGGTCGATTTGAGACTGCCATGAAAACCTGGAGGACTATGCAGTATGGATGGACTGGAAATGGAGGCGACAATGACTGATGACGTCTTACACTTCGACGTCCTGGGCCCCAACTCCTCCATCACATTATCCACCTGTGTAGGTGGGAAAAGAGAGAGCTGTTTAGTTACTGAGACTTGACCGACACTTTTCCAGTACGTGCCTGCACTTTGGTGTGAAAGTGAAATTCAGAGAGTCATAGGTTAAAGGGAGAGAATTACGTTTTATCGACGTTGCTTTGATTTGGATCGATACGACTCTCTTCCACTTAAATTGCCAGCACAAGATGAAACAGTTACAGCTGATCAAAAGCACTGATTTATGTTATTGATGAATGGCTCTCCACGCAGAAAGCCATTAATTCTGGTGGGACTGTATGACACGCTTGAAGACCTGAGATCAATAGTTCTGCACCAAAAGAGCTACCAGAACAAGTCAATTTTTTAAGGATAATCTAATTTCTGTTTTTCTATTTGTAAGAAACTGGTCTTAACAAAATTACAGCAATAATACAAAAAAAAGAAATACACTAGATAGCCTTTTTGCCAAGAGTTAAATAAGATCTTTTTTTTTTAGGTGTAAGGATTTGCATCCACTTAGTTTTTTCTTGCTACTGTAGCTATGTTACATTATTTGTCTTGTGTCACTTCTGCATCTCTACTGACCGCTAAGGCCCCGGGTCCACCTAACATTTTTTTCTAAGGGCCAGCATCTTTTTTTTGTTTTCAATGAGCAGAAAGCGTTCGTAACAGAACGCGGCAGCCTGGAGAAAACTTTTTCTTCCCAGCGCTCTGCCTTTTTTGTGCAGCCTCTCCGAGCGCTCAAGTTTAAAAACGTTCAACTTTTCAGAAAGACTTTCTTTCTCAAATTTATGATATTCCTTGTAATTTTCCCGCCTGCAGACGCTAAGAGGGTGTTTCTGCACTAAGGACGCTGAGCCCTGAAAATGCTGAACTGCATTGATTTTAAAGAGCTGCCCTAGCCAGGAACCAGGAACATTTCATCTTATCTTAGCTCAGCATTAAGACTTCTGTCAGGGAAACAGTGATGTCTTGTGTATTTCCAGTTAACTACAAACTAACTTTTCAGGTGTACTTATTTGAGGTTTTACCCATAAACATGTTGGATGTAAATAAACTCTTGGCCTATGTATGTCATTATTGCTGGTGCTTCTAATAATTTGGAGATCAGACTTTCTTCCATGAAAGAAAAAGAAAAACATGTTCAAGGTTATTTCATCACTTATTTAATAGATAGAAGCCAAAACTGTTAAATAACTGTTTCACATCACATAATGTCTTTGTAATCTCTATTTAAAACTGTGTTTTGGTAACTTGGGTGTTTCTGCAGCAGAACAGCCTTTTGGTTGAAGATTTCCGTGTGAAACAGTGAATCAATCTTTACATCACTTCTTGTGTTGGAGTGGAGAGAATCCACAACAGATAAAACAATCACTTTGTTTAAGAAAAGAAAGTCTGAGTGGGAAAGCATGAGCGGAATATGCCAGGTAAAAGCTTCAATAAGCTTCTGATTTTGTACAAGGTTTGATATATATTTATGTAAGAGCAGCAAAAAATGAATGTAAAGTGAATGGATGTAAAACTTGGATTGGACTGACTAGAAGGGGCAGTAAAAAATACATATGCCAAACATTTCACATTCCTTTATATTTATTTAAAACAGCTGGTTCAGCTTCAGAGTCTGTTAATTTAGGATTTCTTAAATACTGAGGAGTCACTGGACAGTGTTGTACAATAGTTGATATGCCCCTTTAAAAAGTTCTTAGACATGTTCAGACAGAAAGGATGTAAAGGTTGGTCATATGTTTTATCTAGAGCTATCAAATGATTAAAATATTTTATCATGAATTGCAATAGTTAATTGTGATGAAACGCATTTTAATCACGTTTAAAATTCTACTTTTTTTGCATTTCAAAAACAGTTTTGTAAGGCTTTTATTTTGAATATTCATACTGTCTATAAAATTAAGGTACTTTACCTTCTGTTTGACTACAAACCTACATTTGTACAGCAATTTGGTCAGCTGTTGCTGTTTTTAAATGTGCTTCATAAATAAATGTGACTTGACTTGACTAAACTTCTTTTGAAATTAAAAAAATGAACTTCAGTACGCTAGATCAAAGATTATGACATTAACTTAACTACGGAAAAAGGACCTTGGTAGGGATCGATAACTTTATGTAAACAGCTAAAGAGGACGATAAAATGTCACAAGGTGGGTATTACTTTTGAAAAAAGTGTTTGAAAACAGTGTAAAATCCTTGCCAACTCGTGACACAGTGAGCTCGGATTTGTTGAACGCTATTGTTAGCTATTACTTAGCGGTTGTTGCTAATGACTTGTGATGTTATTTGACTATAAAACATGATCAGCTGCTCATCAAACAAGGCGCTGATATGATGATCTATCCCATTGTCTATGTTTATTCAAAGGTTTCTGCTACAAAGAATATGGTTGTTAGTAGTGACAACAAAAAAATGTGCAAAAAAAGCTAAACAAAAACAGACGCCACATGTACTACACAAATGGAGAGGTGGACTTTTGGTGTCTCTTACAGTTGCTGGCAGATGACTGGTCGGCTGTAGACTGAAGTCCGACATGGAGATGTCTTCAGGCTCTGTCAGAGTCTGAACAGTGCGCACACAAACACAGCCACTTAGTGTTTGTTATATTCAAAAGATCTTTTGTTCTGAGTCTCTGAGAAACATTCCTGCTGAGTACAAATCTAAGGTTGGATTAGAGTTTGAACTCAAAGTAATGAAGCACTGGTTTTAAAAAGTATGTCAGATGATTTACAGAATGATGTACCAACAGGATTAGCATTAGCACTGGAAATTGGGGCAACTTAAAAGCTGTGGTTTTCTTGAAAACCCGTAGTGTTATAAAACATATAGAGAATTCATTTTTAAAGGAAAAGTTTGTGGATGGAAAGTGAATGTTGAGAGTTGGAGGAGTAGAGCAAAACAGATCTCAGGTCTGTCTGTTATTTATGAAGCTAGATGCCACAGTGGGCTAGCTTTGCATTAATACTGAAGATATCGGCCTACAGCTATACTCTTGCTTTGTCCACAGGAATAATTCCCTCCACCAGCAACTCAAGAGCTGAAATATTTTTGTCAGTGTGATGTTGCTAGGCAACGTACTGAGACCACTGGAACTCTCGTTGTAAACAGAGTCTAGCACACGGCTCCCAAACAATCAGAACTTTTGCCAATAATTAAGCAAACAAGACATAACATCTAATTTGGGAGTTTAAAAGGTGCTCATAGATTGACTTTATTTCTAAGTGTGTGTACATACAGTATGCTGAGTTTAAGCTTAGCTATGCTAGTCAGCATTCGCCTGCAGCTTCAGCGTACAGACATTTTACACCATATTATATCTGTCTTATGTAGGGCATGAGATCAAAGTTATAGTTTGAGCTCAACGTAAAACACTTTGCGTCCAGAAGTCTTACGTAAGAGAAGTACCTTAGTCATCGTAACCAAGATATGTAAATAAAAAATTCTGTCAAAAATGTATTACTTTAAATTATTTTGAAACACAAGACTGTAAAAAAAGGAATACAAAAAATGTGTGTCTAGCAAAGTAATACACAATGGTTAAAGACAAAAGTAACAGTGTCTATCTTTTGCTCTGTGCAGAGATTGAAGCAGATGGAGGTCAAAGACTTCTGAACAATCAGCTGTCTTCGTCTGCCTTCAAGTGCAGTTGAAACGTGGAGTCGCGTCATGCAAACTGTGGATTAAGACTGAAACACCCAGATTATTGGATTAGTCTTTCGGCCCTCTGTAATGGAGTCCTCTGTGAACCCAACCTGCATGCCAGTGTCCCTGTATGTGTGTGTGTGTGTGTGTGTGTGTGTGTGTGTGTGTTTGCATTGATGTGCGTACATGAGAATTGCTTGTGTTTTTTTCTAATGTGAACTAAGATGATTACAGAAAAATGGAAATGCTCCATATCCGATGCCCCACATTGAGTTTGTGGTTCATTGGTCAGACTGTTGGGTTTTTATCAAGCACCAATATGTGTGGACGTTTGTCATGATCTACCATCTTACCTAACGACTACTTGCAGAGTTTATGCCAAATTATAAAACATCTTACAAAGATGAGAAAACTGGCCACAATTGTGAACATATATAGTTCACGATTCAACATTATAATATAGAAGTTTAAGTCTAAAGAATCTCTAGAAGTGATGAGTCAAAAGGTCAACCTTTGACTTTTTTTTTTCTCTTGGAGATGTTTCACCTCAAAGGCTTTGTCAGTTCTGACCAAATGGTGGAGGGTTAAAGGCAGTCAACCTCGGGAAAGGTCATTCACTCCCTGAAAAGCAAAGAGGTCAAAGAAGGGTTGTCAGTCCACCTGGTTGGCATGTTAGAGTCTGGAAGTGTGTCAGGACGGCATATGTGGGTCTGCTTGAGCTCAAAAAGAGTTTGTTTGTAAGAAATGTTGTTTGTCCACATTTGAGGACAAAAGGGATTACTCTAGTCTTGATCTAAGTACAGACAGTAGGCCGTCTCAGAGAGCAGTGGTGCATATAGTTGTGTGTAAAGAACTGACAGATCATCGTTTTTAGAAGAACATTGGCAGGCACACGGCCATGTAAACCTTCAATGAAAACTTGAGCCTTAGTGAGAAATGAAGAGGCTCTTTGGAGAAAGACTTGAAGGTCCTTTGGGTCATTTCCTGAGCTTGTTACAGTCTGCATATTCTTTATTCTGCATGAAGTAGTTTTTCAATTCATGTAACACACATTTCTGCACAGCTGCAAAGCTTCTACCCTATAACATGGTATTTTAAAATGTATTTTACCACATTACTTTATGTTTGAATATTCGTTTGCCTATATTTACTCCCAGCTTACACGTTTATTCTGTTTTATTTTTTCTTGCTTTATCGGACGAAGGCTACACATCCTAATCAAATGACTAAAACATTTTTGCAATCCATAAGAGCTTCTTGCTAGTCGAACTACTGTACGTTCTTGTGCATGTGTGCGAAGTAATGCAATGAACAAATGTTATTTGAACAGTTTTCTTAGCTTGTCAGACTGCCGTCACCATACGGATATAAGTCTGGAAGATGTGAGTAAAATGTTATAATGGTGAATGTCTAAAGTCATAGTGTGTCCCTCTGTGAAGCATGAAAGCTCTTTCACCCGTCATAGAGACAGTTTTTTTTACTGACTTAGTTATAATGTCTTTTTAAAATCTTTGACAGAATACTTCAGTTGGTGTTGTGAGCACTCCACAGTTCTGCACTTATGGCCTTTAAGTGATTATTAGATGGTTATGTTATTCCGGTCTGGAGGATTGCAGCGGCCTTTACAAAACTATTTGAATTCAACTTTGTCTGTCAACTGCAAAGTTCTTAATGAATCCTAAAAACAAAAACAGTAACTCTTCAAAGGTAAGTCTTATCCAGAGTCCAAATCAACAGGGATACTGAATACTTGATCACAAAATCAAACCATACTGCGACAAGGGACCAAAACATCATGATCTAACCAGATCGTATGCTGAAGAATGCTCCATCTGACATGACCTCATGAAGCAATGTGCCAGTAAATACTGAACATAAACATGACGTCTGTGCACTCTGACTTCGAAACAACATGAGCTCACTACTCAAAGGATTGGATTACGATTAGATTTGGCATTATGCCAAAACAGGAGCCAAATCCCCCATCTAAACCCAGTTTGAGAGCTAAAAGTCAAAGTGTCTCGGTGTGGTGACGCCTTTCTGACTCTTAAAGTAGAAAAGTTATAAATGTATCAGTTTCACCTTCAGTTTGAGTAACACTAGTGCATATCAAAGTGTGTAAGTAACACTTTGTTTTACATAATCCAAGCACCAACACTCACTGTGATGTGCGAGATGAGACGTATGCCTGGGTCAGGGAGGTTGTGGCCACTTCTCTCAAAGTCTCCCGTGTGGTGACCTCTCACTTTTGACCTCTGGCTGGAATGGCGCACCTGTTTGGCATCAGCAGACAGCTGACGACTGACGGGCGTCCGAGCTGAGCACTCGTCCTCCGTGTCTGAGAAATGAGCCTGAGAAAAAAACAAAAAAGAAACAGCAAAAATCAGCAACTTGTAATTTAGAGTATTTATCAATGGAGGTGTAAGACAAAGACATACCATATTATATATGAGATAAACTCACTGATTCGCTCTCAGACAGGGATGAGTTGCGGGGCTTGCTGGCGCATTTGCTCTCTGATTGGCTAGTGAGGGTTGATCGGCGGGTGGACAGGAAGCTGCTGCTGCTGAAGCGGTCTCTGCCCGTCATGCACAGTAATGCTGCGAGATAAGGAACGTATCTGCTGATCGCCGACCTGAGGGAGAGAAAATCAAATTCAAATCGTTAATTAAACACATTTCATTTGATCAAGTGAACGGGGCCAATTTGACCTTCTTCATCAAGGTTTCAAGAAGAACATTTAAATTCTATTAACACATGAAAGTGGGTGATACAGAGGAAATGTCCTCAGCTGATTTATAGCTGTGAATTAAAGGGATCGTCTGGGGTTGATGTGATGTGGTACGATGTACTTATCAATAGATACACATCAGCTAGTAGCACAGAGAGAGTTTCTACATGGAAGCTCACATAAAACAAAATACATGTAACTGAACCAACACATATAACACTTATGTATTTACTGCAGGCGTAAAGGAAACTGTACCTTCTTAAAATACTGTAACTAAAAGGTGTTTGGTACATCTTCTACAATGTATTGTATTATATTGTCTTTAAACTGTACATGTTGTCTACTACGTATTAGATTTTCTATTATATTCTATTTAACACAATTCTATTTTCTTCTATTAATATTTTCTATTATATTCTATAATTTGTAATCCTTTTCTATACTACTGTATTTTCTTCAATCGTATCCTACCTTTTTATACTCCATTATATTTCATTCTACTCTACTCTATTCTAATTTGTCCTACACTTCTTTCTGTTCTACTGTATTGTTTTGTGATTTATTCTCTTATTTTTGTTTTTCTTGTTCAAAGCTCATGTGAACACATTTTAGACGATTATAAAAATAAACTTTAATTAGATGTTAGATGTTAGATGTTAGAAGTGATAAACAGCACGCCACAGGAACAGCCTTTTTTTTTACATTTTACACATCAAATATTAAAAAAAAAAGTGTACAGGACTAAATCATCAAAGACATCACAGGTACCACTTTGTCCACAGGGGGCGCCATCATCAACACAAATGGAAAGTTCCTCATAGGGGCTTTAATTTTCTCAAATTTATGATTTATTTTTGTGTCAGTATTTGTTCTGAAAAGTGGAATTCATTGATATATCACCGGACTGTGAAAAATCATAGAAAGGTGCCCATGACAAGAAGGAAACAAACAAACATTTCTGTTGAAAGTTCACAAACATGAACTTCTTGGTGTCTACTGTGATAACACAACACTGCTATAATACTGCTGATCAGAAAATACAGATATCAGATGATTTGGAACCTGTAAGACATTAATAGAATATTGGCCACCCAAACACAAATACAAACCTAGAAACTCAGAGAAAACAGAGTCCACATCAAGCAGAGTACACGGCAAAGCACTGCCAAGAATTGGACACAGACTGGGACCGAAATAAAATTCAATATTTACTCGGGGAGAAAACTCGGTTTGCATTGGAAGCAGAAAAATATGTCAGAGCATGACAGAGCCTGAGGTAAAACACATGAAACTCCACTGAGATACTTTTTAAATCTGCCTCCTGTTTCTGATTTAAAAGGGTATTTCTTCTCTGGTTTTTACCATTGACATCACATTTAATGGTTGGCTAACTTAGTCTCGTTTTTTATTTAATTGTTTGGGATTTTTATTTATTCATCTTCAAAATATTCCGTGTAGATATAGTGGAGAGAGAGAACATGTAAACCTATAAAAAGGTGTTTCGATGGTTTTCTACACAATACTCATCCCTTAAATATGCATCTTACCTGTATTTGGGATGTGTTATAGCGTATATGATGGGGTTGTAAATCGCAGATGCTTTCGCGATCACAGCAGGAACAGAGTTCATATATGGAGTCAACAGGTCGGCGTACCTGAGGGAGACAGAGGAGAGATAAGAGCAGGGACAGATGTCAGCAAGAGGAGGAAAAAAGGAAAGAGGGAAATGAGACATATTCATGTGACAAGGGCAGATGTGGGTGTGTTCCCAAAATAAAAGATGAGTGTAGACACACAGTCACAAGGTCAATGTTGAATTCATGTTGCTGTGACTGACCCTGCACTGCTGTAGAATGTGGAAAGTACAATCAATAAAGTTAATCAAGCTGCCATTCACACTTTAAATAACAAGTGAACAATTACATCAATTCAGGTCAAATATGATACCTACTTAAAAGAACTTCAAGGTCCACTAATTAAGGAAATTATAAATTATAAAGAATTTCTTTACTCTGAGCTTTGGTTTTAGAGGCCCAGTTTTTAATATATTTCAAGTTACTCATGTCTCAAAATATATATATAATGGAAATATAGTAACTCCTTTTTACCAGATTAACTGCTATGAAGGTGACTAGGTCAATGGATGAAAGAGAGTCACAGCGACAATGACTCAAAGACAAGCTGCTGTAAAAAGGTGCATTTTAAATTACTTCAAAAATATGTCAAAAAGTTCACATTTTCTCCTCTTGAAATCTATGTAGCTAACTGTTTTAGCGAACAGTTTTCTTTTCACATCAAGCAGATGCTGAGTTATGATGATGAAGTATTTTCTAGGCAACCTGATGAATGTCAGGTCCAGAATTCCTTCTCTTTTAGGAATTTATATGGCCTCTACATTCTCCAGAACTCATTTTGCTTCAGACATATTTCAAATTGTTAACAAGTTCTTTTTTTTTATTATATTGTTTTTGGGCTTCAGCCTTTATTTAGACAGGACAGTGGATAGAGTAAGAAATCGGGAGAGAGTAGGGATGGACATGCAGACTTGAACCCGGGCTGCCTGCTTGGAGAACTTTTAGTCTCTGTACATGTGTCGCGACTTTACCGCGAGGCCATCAGCATTCACCAGCTTGTTTCTGACTTTGTCTGTCTGTAGTAATTTTTTCTCTTAAAACAGCTGCCGGCTATTGCTGAAAATAAGGCTGTAAAAGCGGTGACAGTGAAGTAAAACTGTTTTCATCCACAAAGGTAAACAATGACGTTAAAAATGTCTAAATGCTCCTTAAAAAGAGGAGGGAAGAGGTAAGTCAGTTCACGAATGCATATGAGCCCTCTTACACAACACAATGTCACACTTTTTTCACATTCTGATTTCCATCAGAAGGAATCAGTTAGAGCTGCTTTAGAGACTCTGTTTCCTTCAGAGAGCAGAGACTTCACTGCCCGATCTGACTGAAGAACCATTTCCTCTAAATGTGACTGAATTAGGATTCATTTGTCACCCACCAAGCAGCCGGAGTAACATTCAAGTTGCAGAGCCTTAAAGCTTCTTTGACAAAAATGTTTTTAATCCTCAAGGTATTTCCAGATCGAACACAAAGTAAATGTTTGTGTTGCTTTAGAATGGAAAAACACTGCTGCCTGGTTTTGAATAGGTTGATACATGGACTGTGGCAGCTTTAATAACACATTGCTGTCAGTACTGTGCTGCCACAAATATAGTGCTAAGCCAGTTTTCAGATCATACAGAGATCTTTTGACGTCACTAGACTTTAAGATAATATGTTTTAAGCAGTCGTGGACAAAGCACACACACATACACACCTACCCGGCGAATGCAGTGAGGGCAGCACAGGAGTAAGGGGCCCAGGAGACGACAAACAGCAGGATGACGATGAGTGCGATCTTGGCCATTTTCCACTCACTCCTCATCTTATGGGCTCTCTTTGCAGAGTCTCTGGTCCCGTCGCAAGTGATCTTTGTTATCGCTCTGTCAGAAGCAGTCATTCATCAAAGTAATGAAACCTTTTTTTTTTTTTGCTTTTCAAATTTTCCATTTCAAGATCTTTTTTTTTCCTCTCATTATCGTAATTGTCTTTTTTAATTCATTTCTTTAAACGGTCATGCAGGTAAATTGACTCAGAAATATGCTGTGATTGTGCGCCGACACAGTTTTCTCATCACCTGTATTGGCAACCCGCCTGTATAGGCAACATTAACGTTCAGCTCAAGCGCAACATCAGTGGAAATCAATAGAAGAAACCAGACACATCATTAATCAACAAGACATCCGTTTCAAAACACACACACTCACACACCGGAGTGTATGTTGTTAAAGTGAGTAAGATAGGAGCATGATTTAACATTGACTGCATGTGTGTGCGTGTGTGGGTGCATGTACCCACCGTGTTGTGTGTCGGATGGCTCTGAAGATGCAGCAGTAGCTGAAGATAATGATGGAGAGGGGTATGAAGAAGACAAAGGTAAAGAGCAGCATGGTGTAGGAGCGGACAGAAGGGGTGAACGTCATGTAGTCCCAGGAGCAGGACGTCATCAGACCCTCTGGGACGTAGGCACCTGTGGAGACCATAAACTCGTCAAGAGGTCGTTTCCCAGAAAATCTGATAAATCCTTTTTCAGTCAGTTTCTGTGTTGTATAGTGTATGTGCTTCTTCTCTATCTGAGAGGCCTTGAACTCCCTGCATCTTCACAATAGCATTCAGTATTCTGTATGTGTTCGATAACCTGTAGGCACGGTTACTTTTCACAATGTATTCAAACAACACTTGTGGATTTACTCTGGCTGCTCAATTGATGATCCGCTAGTACCCTCCTCCCTTCTGCGTTATCCGTTATGTAAATGAACAAACAACATGGACTCTGCACTGGCCAAGACAAATTGGCATTAGTTAAAGGAACAAGTTCAGCTATACCTTTCCAGTGCCAGCACAATGCTGAAACCAATTGTTGAGATATGTCTGGCAATGGGGTGACTAAGATTCTATCCAATGATATAATATTCAACAAAGAAGCCAAGTTATTAAAGGAAAGAGTTCATTGTTGAATTACATATAGCATTGGACAACGGACAAGAGTTGGAAATTATAACAACAGCTATAAACTCTCTGTGGAGCACATCAGTTTCATGATTTGTATTGAAATTATGCTCAATTGCATTGACCCTATTAGATAAATAAATCCAATGATAAAACGAAAATGTCTATCAAAGCGACATTCTGTTATGTGTCATTATTACAGTATTATTGTTATTCTGTTATATGCCGTTTCTGGTTTTATGAAGCAAAAAAGAAATAACAAAGTGGCCCGAAATGCAAAATCCATATAAGGGTAGAAGATGAGGCTTTTCCCCCTGTTGTTTCTACTATAAAATAGTCAAACCTGTTGCATTGGGAATGCCCACCTTGACTACATCCTGCATTTCATACAAAGTAAATAAAGGAATTACACACCCAGAAACACAAAAACATAAAGAAACATGAATAAATGTTTAACTACAATTTAAAATAAACCTACAATACACATATACACATACACACTTGTAATATAGCTGCAGACCTTGAAAAAAAAAATCACAGTCTCTCCTTCAGTCACATTCAGTCACGGAAGGAAGTCATAAGTCAGTTTTATTGCATGTTGTGTTAAGTTGTTGTGGCAGTAGGGGCTCCAAACCCCAAGGGATTTTCTGTTAGAAAACAGCAGCAGGGTCGACAAAGATAATAGACCAGCAACAGGAGTTAACAGTGTCTGTGTCTTAAATACCTGTGTTGGTTCAGCTCAAATAAATATACAAAATGTAAACCTTTCAAACAATTTGTCTATACAGTAAATTGAAAGTGGAAGGAAATCATCTGTTTTGCAAGATTGGTATAGGAAAAGAAACACATAATTAGATTAATAAAATAATGGAAGATAATGCCAATAAAATGGCCCAAACAATCTAAAGAATATCTAAATATTTCACATATCATAAAATTATATCACGAAAACGAAGGTAAGAAACATATTTAGATACAATTTGGTTGCAATGCTTTCACAGTATGTAAACTGTAGTATGTATGAATTCATGTGTTTTAAATTGGCTAAGTTGGTTGCATGCTTTTGTATAGGACTTTTTATGTTTTTCGTCCAGTTTCCCAAAGGAGTGCCGCAGGGCTCCATACTTGGTCCTCTCATGTTCTCTGTCTACATGCTGCCACATGGGAACATTTTCACAAATTGCAAAAATACCTAGTGTTTTGCCCACTGGTCCTCCCATAATTTACGTCTTGTTTGGACAGATAACTTATGGTCTCAGTTTTGAGAACAAATAGTGGTTTCCTGTTATTTGTGTTAACAGCTCTGGTGTTTGCCCTCTGTAAGGCCTATGTTAGGTCTTGTAGAGCGGCAGCTAATGAAAATGACAAGCTGTGACCCTGACAGCAGTTCATCAGGATGTGAAAGAAATACATGTTAGAAGGCCAGTAGTTGGATAAATACATGCTTGGAATTACTTCTTGAGGACACTATTAAAGGGATACTACAATTAATGTATTGAAAATGATTATTTTGTTAAATAAAAGACCCTTTAGTTTAAAATGTCTCAAATACTAATTCAAACCACTTGCCTGCGAGCCTTCAACAAAAAACCTTATTTTATAGACAGAAATTACAACCAGTGCATAACTGTTAATCCATTATAAACACACAAGAGCCTTTCCATAATTTACCTTATACTAAAACAATTAAACGTACTTGACAGAGAAGCTGTAGGCTACAGGCATTAATTAAATTTAAATTTTTAAAGAAGGATCAAGTATCATCCAATCAGAGATGCTTAAACAATATACTTTCTTCAGGAGCTGTAGTCACAAACAAACATTAGGAACTGCTGAGTTTAACACACTGTTTAGTACACACAGACACATACACACACAACTAGGTTGCTAGGAAACAGAGTGGTTGTGCTGTCCCTCTAGATAGATGTTGCTTACCTCTCTGAGTGTCATTCTTGGTGTCCTCAACAGTCTGCTCTTGGTGAAACATTCTCACGTTTTATTATATCTAGTGCCACTTTAACCAGTATAGTAAGCCCCTCTGCTCCAGTATGACCACCCCTCCAACCAATCCCACTGTAACCAGTCCACCTCTCTGTCCAACTTCTCAGAATCTTCACACAATTTACATTAAAGGAGGCACTTCATTAACAAGTGAGTCATGGATGGGTTATAGATGGGGGTCTTTTAACGGTGGTTTGTACTTGAGTCTTTGTGCCTGTATACGTTGTATTGTTTGAACTGGTTGCAACACAATTCTCCCAAAATGGCAATGAAGTTGAAGTTAAAGTTATAGTTGCATGTAAAAAACTAGAAAGACAGAAAGCCAACCTAACTGAAGATTCAAGTTCATAAGTATAACAACTCACAAAGACAGATGAAAGGGTATTACAAACGAGAAAGAAAGTATAGAAGGCGAAGTGACCATTTGAGCCACATGTGAAATCAAACAAAAAATGTTGAATTACCACTTGGGATCCACTGTGAGCATATAGGCATTTAGCTTTTAGCAAGTCCAAGCATGCAACTGCTTTTAATGCAACATCTTTGGTGTGCATGTATTGAGTCATTAGTGTGCTTTTGGTGGTGCATTAAAACAGTAATGCAGCCTTTAATGTGAGGTCAAATAAACAATAGTCCTGTCCTGTAACCCCACTCCTAATAGAAAGAGGTTTCATTTAATGAATTGTATTAACAGTAAAGTAGATAATGTTGTCCACAAGAAGCTCTGCTAATGTGGTGAAATATAGGTGAGACATTTATCTCACTTTAAGAGTGTATAAATGGACATTAGTGCTCAATTAAGAGGAATGATGTAACCCTATCATATTGCAAGAAATATCAATTAAAAGTATCATCACATTTCAGCTCTTTTTTTTAAGGCACAGAGGCAATACAGTCCACATAAGAGTGTAATTAAAACAAAAGAATATTAGTTTTATAAAACCCAGCACCCACCCCCCTCACTGGAGGACAACTTTGCATCTAATTATATATTCTTACACGGACTGGTATAATAACAATTTAGCCACCTTTTTTTTTTCTTGTCTGCAAATGTTTATTCTATTTAAATGAGAAGCAACAATGTGGTTAACTGGCAATGAAGGTTTCACATTTTTCAAACAACACTGTGAAGCCTGCCTCTGTTGGCCCAGCCACAGTGGTGTCCTGAGGTTTAGCAACCAGAAATTGGTGCATGGTGACAGATCAAGAGAGGAATCAAAGCATGAGGAATGAACCTTAAAACTTTTTTTGTTTTTGAGAGAAATTTGCCCACCGATAAAGCTGAAGTTAGCAAACATTACTAAAAATGCATCTGACAAGGAGTGTAAGCAAAGTAGGCTGTGTGTAGTGAAGTAACGGATCTACCCTCTGTATCCAGTTTTTATGTTACTGGACAAACCAATCGAACTTTGAGTATTTAAATGACATCCGATTGGTCCAATCCACAAGGACTAGAGCCGGGCACGGCATATACTGTATATCACTGAGAACACAAAGCAAGCAGTCAACAACCTCATCAGTTTTTGTTAAGCTGTTGTATTGTCAGCTTCAGGTAAGAATAACGTGATCTGCCTTCTGAGCCAAGTCGTAAATGTATTTGTCACATTTACGAAACAGAAAAGTTCTAGATGACATAGTACTTTCAGCAGGAAGTTGACATGCTGACACTTTAAAAAGTTTTTTTTTAAAAAGGTACAATACTAAGAAAGAGCTCAACAGACTAACACCCTCAGAGAAATCACCCTGATCGATGATGACTCTTAAGTTGTACTCACTCCAGCCAAAGAAGGGGGGCAGGCTCCAGCCCATGGAGTAGACCCAGGCCGCAGCTACAATGCTCAGGGCTTTCCTTCGGGACATCGCCCCCAGCGAGGCCAGAGGTCTGGTGATCACCACGTACCGGTCCACTGCAATCACCATCAGTGTCATCATACTGCAGATACCAAACAGAGCTCCGCAGAAGGCATACAGCTCACAACCTGGAAGAAGAGAGGACAAACTTTAGCCAACACTGGAAACATTTCGAGCTAAAAGATTATCTTTATTCTACGGTAGAATGTCTGTTTTGTCAGCTTTATTGTATTTTCTGTATGTTACGTTAGCAAGAAAACATCAGATACAAACATACTTTATAATTGCCTTTTAAAACCTTCTGTAATGGCACAAAAGTTTTACTGCTTTGGTTCCATCTCACAGCTCCCAGAGCATAGTTTCTGGCTACAACAAGCAGCTGTTTGGAAAATTGAATAAAACCCAGAGTGCCTTACACCATACAGTAAAAGCACACAGCTAGTAGGCAGCTGGTAAACAGATTGATGCCTTTAGTTTAAGATATTGAAATTTCCTTCAGCAGTTGGTGGAACCCAAACGAAAAGAAAAGGAGCTTATAGAGTGAAAGAGAATGATAGTTGTGAAGTGAGACTTGCTGTACATCTCCAAATTTTATATTTTCAATATTAATGTAATAGGATGATATTAAAATGTCCTTTACATTTTTGTATTTCATTGAAACAAAGCCCGTTTGGATTGATTTAAGTGGAAGGATGTTGGGAAAGACAACAGTGGAGGAAAGACAGAGAAACAGGAGAAGCAGAGGGAATGGAAAAAAGATGCGATAGGATAGTAGTGGGAATTGGAGGTGAAAGAAAGGGGAAATTAGGTCAGGTTTATGGGAAGAGGAGCACAATAGGAAGGATGAGTCAGGGTGTCAGGTGAAACAAGAAACAGAATGATAAAAAAGATGGATGGAAGGGTGATTGGAGACCAAATACGTTGTTACCAGGGGGAAAGCTAGAGAAAGTGTGGCATGTGCAAACAGCATTGAGAGCTTAAATAATTAATAGATGTAGAACTTACAGTAAATAACCGTAATATGCTGACATACTGTGCACGATTTCTTGCTACAGCATTGACAAGACATCTAACAGGCCCCTTATTGTTCCATAGCGTCCATACAGCTTATAATTACGTTAAACTTATCCATAATGTATGAAGAAATCTACACACACACACACACACACACACACACACACACACACACACACACACACACACACACAAACCAAATACAAACACTCAATCATTCCCTTATCAGCGCCTGTCCCTTCAGGCTCAGAGTGTGTGATTACCGCCGACCTGTCACACAGCATGTAATCACCGTGCCAAGTCATCACATCTCAGCACAAGACAACATCTGAATTGTGTCCCTGGCGTGAAGAAACCCAAACAAATATCGTTCAGGTAAAAGAACGGATATCACAATGCTCGGCTGTCTAAAGTGTGGAAAAGTTACTGCAGATAATGAAGTCCAGATCGGCTCCAAAAGAACAGCAGACGTTCTCTAGAGAGGAACTATATTCTAAGGTCCTGGGGCATTTTTAAGATCAAGATAACAGGCATATGTAAAACATCTCAGGGGTCATTTCATTTGATATTACAATCATTTTTAGCAAATCTTGGAAAAATCTGAACTAACAGAATTACATGATATAACCACCTCTTCACATTGAATAATGTCACAGAGGCAGTGTTTTTAAACTTCATGCCACCACCTCTGAAACAATGCCATTACAAAGAGCACTTTTGAGAGGAAACCTTCACAACAAGTGGTTAAGTTAGTGAGAGGGTTACAGTTTGGTTAGGTTTCCATTCCCCCTCAAACCCCCACACAGGACTACCTCACTGGACTGTAAAATACATATAATGTGCAATATATTTATCTGTATAGTAATTTTACTCATAGCTTTTCTTTTTATATCTATTTATATCTGCACCTTATTTTTCTATGTAAATACTTGCTGCTGTTTTTTATCCTGCACTACAACAAGCCAAATGCAACAGAATTTCGTTCTTATCTGCATTGTAAAGTACAAGTTCGAATGACAATAAAAAAAGTCTAAGTCTAAGTCTAAATATTAAATAATAAAGTGAAAAAAAAAGATGGTGGTTTGGGTCAAAATAAGTACATTTGTTGAGTTGCGTACAATTGGGACTTGCGTAATATTATATAATGCATGTGATGAAAGCCAACATTGACTTGGCGCTTGAGCTCAGGTCTCCTCAAAATGCTTTTTTTGAACTCCCTAATGCCCCCAACTGCGACCAGAATGGTCTTTTACAGTTTTAAAACTATGTTACATGACTTTCTAACAGATTCCTGTGTACGCCACGACAAATGATCCCTTTAAATCTTCATTTTAAATTGTTTCAATGGTACTGACATGCACTTCAAACACATTTCGTACAATAAGTACTGGTCATTTCACATATTTCTGTAAGACAACATTTTCTTGAAAACACTTTTAATTACTGTACATATAAATTTGAGTTGGTTCTGAATTCATCTTTACCTCACAGCTACCTACCTTAAATTATATTTTGTAGTGAGTCATTCTTATTTACCATATATGAATTTTCCTTAAATATTGGGCAAGTACCTTTTATCTACCAATTTTGTTTATTTTTCTGGTCTTAACTGATTTTGTTATTCTCTGTAACGATTCACATTTTGCTTAACTGAATGGTTTTACCAATTATGTTCAGGAAGCATTGGAGAGCACTTGGGGTTCTGCACACCGTCCACTTTCAAAGAGTGGACACACAGAAATTCAATTTCAAAAAGTGGAGCTTCTGCAAAAACACTTAAAGCATTAAGGACATGGACAATTTGGTCCATCAAGAAAGGAAATTACAGAAAGACAGACAGAATTGGTGAACAAATCCTGATATCAAGAAGCTTGTTAAACATGTTGGGGACATGTCACTTAGTGTTTGAGTTATCAAATCACATCACATATTAATATTCTAAATTCTCTCCTGCTTGAATGTCCCTATTTACAGATAAAAACATCCCATTAAAGATGTTAAGGATGTGCTAACTGCATTTCAGTGGGGGTGAAAGACAAATTAATGCAGCTCTCAGTGTAAAAATAAGGCCAGTTTTGGCCTCTTTATTACATAGAAATGATCCTTTGGGGGCAATGGACGTGTTGTGCCAAGTTTATATCCTATAATTGCAGAGGTTGCTCCCTCCTGAGCAACAGACTGACAGATTATCCTACTTAAACATGCTAACGTTAGCCTCCCTAGAGCCACACTATTGCTAAGAAGTGCCATCATTTACAGGTGCAGGGGGGATTGAGTTCTAAAGAGCAGGTTGAATAGAACACAATTAAAGGTTCAGTTGGCTTTTGCTTTGTTGTTTCTATAGCCACTATTCATCCTTGAACCCTCTTGTTAACTTCTGTCTCTCTGTTTCTTCTGAAAAGGACAGGCAAAAGAAAGAAGAGATGTGTTAAAAAGTGGTTTGGGGTTGAGAGTCCTCTAGCTGTAAGCGCCATTGAGAGTTGAGCTCCAGATTTGACAGCGATTGGCTGTCTTCATCAAGGTCAGGACAACTCCTGAAGGAAAACACCATGCTCTGACTATCAGTGTTTGATCAGTGGAGTGTGGAGCCTCCTATACCTCCTCTCTATCTCGGCTCCCAGCAGGTTGCTTAAAAAACAACAGAGTGCAACATCCCCCGCCAAATGCACTCACGTAAAACACAGCTGTGACATGCATCCTAGCTTTGTTCTGAGTGATCGATGGGGTTTGGATACTGCAGAGTAAGCCTTTGGTGTTTCTTTTTACGCTGTAGCAGAGAGGGATGCTAGAGGACGGCAGGCCTGTGTGTGTGTGTTCAGAATCTTAACTGAACTGTGGGTCACACTTAGCAGGGGAGGGACACATTTCAGGTGCCTGCTGAATCTGAAGTGTGCATGCATGAATGTTAAAGATGTGTTTGGATGCACATTGAAGACGGTGTGTAAGAAAATGTGTGTTTTTTAATGTTTTAGGATAGTTTGCACAGTGTGTAAAAAAGTAAACATGTGTGTGCATGTGTTACCTTTTTTCCCAAAGATCCAGCGCTTGTGCATGCTGGTGATGAAGAAGATGGGTGTCTGAGTAAGACACATGAAAAAGTCTGTGACAGCCAGGTTAATGATGAAAATGTTGGATGGTGTTCGCAAGCTCCGGCTCCTGCAGATAAACAGAAAAAACACAAACAGCTCTTGAAATAATAATATCAACGTTAGAAAATAAATTATCCCTTTAGATTTTGCGTGTTGCTGAACAAGCTTATTGGAGGAAGTCCTTTCCTTACAAACGTACCTGCAGAAAGCATACATGACCAGGAAGTTTCCCAGCATGCCTGTGATGCCCACAAACAGGATGACAACCCCGATGGTGTAGTGGGCGTGGTCTGGGACGTCTACTGTTGGAAACGGGTGGTTTGGGACCAGCGCAGCCTTTGCAACATGAAATAAAAAATAGGATGTAAATGTCATCAGAAATGATGCTTATTTGACTGCAGGGATTATTCTCATGGCTGTGAGGGTAAGGTGTGTAAAAATGATATGCGCAAGGGCAGCTGTGGTGGCAGACGATGTTCCCCACCAAGCAAGGGCAAACCTGCTACAACAAATCAACTGTGTGAAAACGGTTAAGTTGATTGAATGGGTCGAGTCAGGCGGCTTGGTTGGAATAAACCTGCAGCCACAGCAGCAGTTTCATGGATCACTTAATAGGCACTGGAAGGTATGGAGAGTAACTCAACCAAGAAATAAACTCAAAGGGAGATGGAAACTTAAAAAAAAAGATAAAAAATGCTCGTTATTTGTTATCACTGAACTCAACCTTGAAAACTGAAATTAAAAATGGTGAATCATTCCAGAGAACATTGCTGCCACCAGGACAAAATAAAAGTAGCTTAGTCTTTAAAGACAGCCTTTGTAAATCCTTGAGCTGGGCATTATGGCCTTTGCCAATTGACCCTATTTGGACAAGAAGGTAAAACCGTGCTGTGCAAACACAACATTATTAAAGTTACTACGTCTTTGAACCATGGCTTACTGGCTAGTTTGTTGACTACAAAAATTCCCACAAAAATCTATTTGAGGGTGGTATGCAGGGGTGGATTCAGGGGTGCACCCTATTGGCTAATGCAAAATCCTTAACTAAAATGGGCTATTTGCCTTGTCAAAGCCAGCTTATCTTTAAATTAACTATGTGGGCAATGTTGCAACAGGCTGCTTGTAGCTGTCTTTGTATATTCATTTGGTACATTTACTTTTGTAAGGTTAAAGTAGGTATGATTAATGGAGTTACAAAGGGTAAATAAAAGGTGTTCTATTAATTTGTGTTTGCACAGAAACACACAAACTTCATGTCACCTTGCATACCTTAGTCAAAAGTGCCATCTGCAAAAAACAACAACACACTCACATTCGTGTTTTGCTAATGGTTATGTAAATGTATAAAGATGGTTTTTATTTTGGATCTGTTTAAAAAGGATAAGGCACTCGTGATTTCCCAAGGCCCGATGCAACAGGAAGAAACAACAAGTGTGCATACAACGTGATGATGCAAAGGACAGAAGCCTTGGCTTGCTGATGCAAAAATAAATAATTCTCTAGCAATGAAGGTTTTTAGCTTTGATCTGAAAACATCAACAATGTATCGGCGCTGTCCACTAGAGGCCCTTTTTTTTTCATTAGGTTCAAGTACCAAAAGAGTACGAGAACTCGTGCAGAATTTCAAGGGATGAAATCCTGGAAATTGCAAGTCAAATCATAATGTAACTCTCAAAGCATCACGCCGAGTTTTGGCAATTCCAGGATTTCACTCAACATTAGCATTTAGCTTCTGAGAAGTGGCTGCACCTCGGAGCACAAAGCGCCACTGAAAAATTCCTCTCAGAAATAATGACACAGCCTCCTGCTTTTACACTTTCCTTTTGTCTCTCTCTCTGTTTTCTTTCCAGTGCCCACACACACATGAAAACACACACTCACAGCAACACACACCCACTCACCAGGACTATACTTCCACTAAGCTTCCGTGGGCGCCCGACACACACATCTCCTTTTATTAATCCTGGCTGCTGCATTTAAGCGCCCGTGTTATGTTGCTTTACACACATGCGCTTCAGTGTCCAACATCTGTCTCCACAGTCCTACTTTTCTGCAGAGTCATATATACTGGGGTCACTGAAAGGAGGAATAGTGGAAAGTGATGGAGTGGTTATGTAAGTAAATGAAAGGAAAGGTCATGGGGAGGTGTTACTGAAATGAGGGAAAAGTGCACCGAGTGAAGGTGATATGCAGATGTGGCGTGTGAGTGTGTGTGTGTGTGTGTGTGTGTGTGTAATGTAAACACACTTGGATCCAGTCTGACGCAGTCATGTCTTATGTGGCGGTGGATCACGCTCAAGGTCTCTCTACTTTGCCTGCCTTCATTTGTTCCCCGATCCCATATTTACTGTCTGCTCCCTAAATCACTCGAACACTCCTTTCCTTCCTTCCTCTCTTATTTCCTCTGTCTCTCCCTGGTCTAGCCGCTCAAGGGCCAGATTAATGCCGATCGCAAGGGGAGGAGAAAGGCGAGAGGGTCACGGTCTCCTCACCACCTCTACTGTCTCTGTGCGTGTGTTTGTGGATTTTAAGATGGAGATAATGGGCGGTAATGTCCGCCTATCTACTGTCTGTCTGCGAGCACGCACTGAAGCCACAGATGCCAGCAATTCTGGGTATTCCTTTGTAAGTAGAGAGCAAGTGTAATGAATGTGAATGGTCTTGTGGCTTTCTAATACACAGCAATTAAGAACAAGCAAAGACCAATAAATTGAGAGCGGAAGAAGATAAAGATTAGGGAGAGAGAAGAGAGTGAGAGACATAGTGTGATGGGAGAGTTAAACGTCCATGTTAAGGAATTTAATCTGAACTAAACATGCATGTAAGCAGAAACAGCCATGCACACTCGTGGTTGAACCCTTACAAACACATGCGCTAATCTAATAAAAATGCCTTAATTACTTCTAGTGACAGGATTATCATGTTCTGTCTAGTGACAGGATTATCATGTTCTGTTATCAGTGCAAAGATTCACTTACAGAAGAAAAAAATGTATGTTCGCTAGGATCTGGTCAGTGCATCGTGTCATGGTACAACAACACAGAGCCATACAGCTATGTGAGGGAATTAAAAAAAGGTGCTGCAAAAAGCATCAACATTAAACACCCTGTAAATACATTATTAATGCACAGTTTTTTTTAAAAAATCAAACGCAAATCCAGAAAACAAATGCAACAGAGAAAGGCCGATCATCAACACCAAAGTACTCCATGCCTGTAGGGGGCGCTGAGTGGAGCTGCTTCATTTTTCGATGAAAAAACGTCACAATAACTCCACTCAACTTTGTCCTCTGATATTGGAATAACTGGATCATATGTGGAGAATGGTTGCAAATGGGCAGATAGTGTTTAGTGAAGTCTGGGCAGCTGTTAAATGTAGCTGCTGTTTGACAGATAGCTCACTTAGCCATGCAGCTTGAGTTACTTTAAGCCTTGGCGGCTGTGGCTCAGTTGGTAGAGTCATCGCCTCTCAATCAGAAGGGTTCAAGGGTTCAATCCCCAGCTGAGCATCATGTCCGATGTGTCCTTGGGCAAGACACTTAACCCTGAATTGCTCCCGCTGGTGTATGAATGGAATTAGTTACTTCTGATACTACATAGAGATCACTACCATCAGTGTGTGACAGGTGGTGCAAAAGCACTTTGAGTAGTCGGAAGACTAGAAAAGCGCTATATAAGCTCAAGTCCATTTACCATTTACCTCTTCTGACTGCCTTGAGAGCTGTGAGAACCGGCCAAGTGTTAGTGTTTACTCAGGAAAGAGCAGCCAGAGCCAGAATAATCAGGCTCGTGGCAGGGCAGGACTCAAGCGGGAAAGATGGTGGAGTTTGACTCACAGGGGAGTCATGTTGACTTTACAGTATCCATGAGAGAAACATCACTACCCCATTCACCTGCCATTGATATGCTGTAGCTTGCTGGCACAAACTGTTTGTGTGTGTGTGTGTGTGTGTGTGTGTGGCTGTGCTTGTTGTCCGGGTGGGCATTTCATTGAAAATTACTTTTAGAAAGTCACTGTTATTCAAAAGAAATACAAATATTCACAGAGGCTGGGATGGACCAATATATACTTTGTTTGATAGCTTGATGCTAACACATGGTGGAAATTGCCATTAACCGGCTAAAAGATTAAGTATCACGGTCACTGCTCTTTCAACTCAAGTAACCATCTATTTTACTTGACAATCTTAAGTCAAACCACAGACTGCATACACATTTGAATTGTTTTCCAAGCTTAGAGATGCTGAGTTACTTCCTTAGCACCTCTACAGTCTGTAACGCTCCAGTTGTGTCACCTGAAACAAATGCTTTCTTCTTCCCTCCTGATTTAATGGCGGTTAGCAAACAGCTTTCAGATGCGCTTCAGCCTCCATCTGGCAGTAATTCCACAACACTACTTTAAATAATTTATAAATTCATGTCATTGGAATATTGCAAAATCACAACCCATCCCTAGTTTGTTGCGCACGACCGCGTCTCCCCCCCACTGTCCTCCCTGCCACTCACATCCTGTTCATTAAATATTTTCTTTAAAAGACAGATTGTACCTAAATTTGATCCACTTAGCGCCTCCTACAGGCCTGGGGAGCTTCCATTGTGATGACTGGATAGGCGGTGCTGTTCTGTTGCATTTGCTTTCTGAATTGGTTTTGGACTTTCCGTGGTCTGGTTTGCAGCATAGATGCTGTTAATGCATTTTCTCATTTCGCAACTTTTTTATGATGGGGTTGCACTGTGTTATGGGATTGGTTTAAAACAGAGAGACTCATAACCACATAGAGTGTTCATGAGTTCACACTGAGTTTTCATTTTTTTACGTATCAGTCTGTTTGGCACAATTGAACCCTCTCGATCCTGCATGTTTTTCAGTATTTGATTGAATTCACTTCATACCAGATGCTACTGTAAAAAGTAAATTAAAAAAATGATCACTACTGTGTCTTTCATCAGTCGTCATGAGCCTTTACACACAGCTGAAGTGAACACATGCCCACTCATTCAGTTAAATGTCACCGTCAAGTCCTTTATCAGTCCATCAATAAGTTTCCAGGTAATTGGTTCTCAGCAACTACAGAATAAAACTCATTTGTTTAGCAGCTATACACTCTAATCAACTGCCGAACACACACACACACACACACACACACACACACACACACAGACACACACACACACACACACACACAGACACACACACACACACTCTCACACTCGTACATTCTCTCTCTTTCATTCACAGACACAAATGTATGCATGCAGACAATCAGACTCAGTTAACATTCATCCAGAGATTGCAGATTTGAAATGAAATGACGAAAGAAAAAGCAACAAAGAGTACAAAAAAAAGATCTATCTGGGGAGAAACGTAGAAAGTTCTGAAATGAAAACCACACTTTTCGAGGAGTATAGGGTCCCATTTGTGTGGGCAGAAGCTGCCCTCGGGCCCTGCTTCGGTATCAGCTTCCCAGGACTCCCACCATGAAGGCCAGACCACAAAAGCTGTCGAGACCAAAGCCTGCTGGTCTCAACTTCAAAGTCCAAACTGAACCCTTCACACTTTCTGAACTGCATTCACTATGACCGTGCAGCCATGTGTTTCTGAGTACGTCCCTCAAAACAGCTGTTTCTGACCCTAAATCAGAGCCTGTGTCTGGACTCCTGGGGCAAAGTGAAAGTACTGTTACCTCTTTTTCATGCTTTCTATTTTACGCACAGTGGAGAGGGAGGATTTCCCTTAAAGGATAAACTAACCCTGCCGTCTGACACAGAGGGAGACAGAGACTGAGAGAGATGGAGTCTGATTCAACGCTGAGTCTTTGTAATGATCACGTTCCTCCTGCTGGTGATCACACGCCTCAGAGTTTCCAGGAGTAACAATGTGTAAATGAGACTGCATAGAGAGTGTGAGAGACAGCATGATTAAACCCCTTTAAACCAACAATACTAATCTGCATACAAAGCAGTTGTTCTATCTTTTTTTTTTTTTTGCAAGCTTTCTGCAAACAGAATTTTTTTCTGTTGGAATTTGAACTGAACTTATCCTGCAGCCTGCGAGTAGAAATGTAATATCAAGACACAAATAGGTCTATAAGAGGACCTATAGGATCGGAATAAAACTGCATAACGTACTGTTTCACAATGCCAATAAGCTACAGGATATCAAATATCATCAAGCTGTTGAGAAAACCAGAAAGTGAGAGAAAATACCTGAGTAAAAGGCAGAAGCAATGGAAAACATCAAGAGTCATGATTCATTTTGGGTTTTTTTAGGAATAATTTTCCCTCGAAAGTAAAGGTTTGACATATGGTGATAATAGGCAAACATACAAATTCTGCAGTCGTAAAATCCATTACTTCTGAGCAAAATGTCTATTTACCATAAATGGACAATATGGAATTTCTAGAAGAAAAATGAAACTTAAGTGAGTCCACGTTAATTAGGGCAACAGCAGGTCACTCAAATGACACCTTAACATACACAATTCCTCTGCGGTGTAACAGAGCACTGATAGGAGACGATATCCATGCACTGACCACAAATACAAAGACATTTGAACCATATTGAAGCCACAATACAAGACTTGCATATTTGACGCGCGCACATCTGGCACAAAAAGTCGTGCCATGTAAGGGGACATACTTACACCCACAGCAGCCTTTTGTAACTATTTACAACCAACACTAAAAAGTGAGGAAGCATTAGAGGTACGAGATGTTTACGCTTGCCTTCATTCATGTTTCGGTGCTGAATGAACGAGGCGCAGATGCGCATGAGAGGATGGTGCGATTCATTAATTCACAGGAGTTTCCATCACACTCTTTCACACCTTTCATGAATGATCTTGTGAGGGATAAACAACAAATAAAACGTAACCAGGCAGTGTCTTTCGCCTTCTTTTCCAGATGTTTGAGTTGGGTTTAAGTTGCCCTTGATCGAATCTTTTCGCTTTTACGCATCGCTGCTGCGCTCAGAGGATCACCAGCCACTCCGAGGGACATTTCCCCCTCAAAAATGTCAGAAAGACTTACAGCTGTAGCTACCGGAGACAACTCCATGAGCCGGTGTGGACTGATGGAGCTGATGTTCCACGGTGCCCGGGCAGTCGGGTCCAATGTGGGGATCCCCGATCCAATCAGCAGCTTAGAATCCATCCCCGATCCACAGCGGTTAATGAGGAGTGCGTGAGAGACGCGGTCAGGAGAGGTGTAGAGTCTTTATGATACGGTTTACTAGTACTAGTGGGCCGTCATCATCTCCGCCCTGCTACTCAGAACACTCTCACTGAGAACGGGAGACAGGACTACTGTTGCAGCTGTGGAGGGGAGGGAAAGAAGTCCTCTCTCTCTCCTTGCCTTTCGTCCAATCCGTGCTCCGGGGATGCCTCTGTGTGTCAGTCGCCCTGTGCGTGTGAGCACATACAGATTGATTTTTTTTCTTCTTCAGTTTAACTTCAAGGAATCAACACTTCCTGAAATGTTTTCTTCTATTCCTTTCCCCATTTTTTTGCTCTATCGGGGCTACAGCACAAATTCTGGACCTTGATAAAAAACTATTAAGGTTCTTTGCGCAACCCTCACCCCTTACACGAGAACCCTCCAAGTCAGTCTCCTTTCCCCAGCATACACCCCTCTGCTACAAGACAAGAGAGGGGTAAAAAAAAATATTAACACAATCATGCAGAAGAATCAAAACAATAAGTCTCCCACAAGAAAGGATCCTACGTCTTTGTTTGGGCATCAGAAGATAAAGAGACTTTCACGTGCTGCCTGCACAAGCCCACATCTTCTGCATAAAAACAGATAGAAATCTATGTTAATTGAATCGCAGCGACATGACTCAGACAGCTGGAGAGTGCTTCATTAGGGCATCGACGAGAAGCTTTGAGTGCATCTGTGGGGAAAGGTTGAGGTCACAGGACATCACATTGCTACTAAGCGTGAAGAAGGAGAAGAGAAACGAGTATAATGAAGGATATAAAGGTGTTTCATTTTTGGTAGAAAACCAGAAATTAAATGTTTAATCCTAGAGAAAAGGATAATATGATTTATACAAAGGTTTGAAAGCTGACAGGAAATTGTCTATTCTGGGCATGTTTGCGGACAGACAAGTGAAAGTAACACAAACTCTGCTGCATAATGTGGTGGTGTAATGTGTGAAAGTAAGTGAGGCTACTGGTCCACAGAAAAGATTCCAATTGCAATTCAGTTATCTTTGTTTTTTTTTTGTTTTTTTTTTATTGGGTGGTGAAATAAAAAACCCTGGGGAAGCCAGGAGACTTGGTATGAAGACGATAAAGTTAGCAGATTTAGGTGACGGCTGGGAGACAAAAAGGCTAATTTGGACTTTTAAAAAACTTTTGGTTACCTGAGTAACTTAAGTTTCGTACAAATTTGACTTATTTCAACCCAAATGTTATCTCATTAGGAACATTTGAAAAAAGAAGCTGGCACTCAAAAAAATTAAATACCAGGTGGACATAGATCTTAATAGATGAAGAACGCAAGGTTAGCAGATGCCTGAATGGCTGCAGCTATAGGAAGACATTTCAGATTAAAAAATACTACTTTTTTTTTCTTCTTGATGAAATGATGTTAACCTGCCAATGTTCCTGACCAACTTCGGAAGTGTAAATAAGCTATGAGAAACTGCCTCTTTTTCTCAAAAACAATTCCTCACCGGAAGCAATAGTTAGGAGGAGGACATACTGGCTGCAGCTTTTTTGACAAAGAGCCAGCACTACAACATAGCATGTTTCGTTAATGTCTGATGATAAAGTAAAGTCATTTTATGATTTCATTCAGTAGATATGGTACATATTGGACCTTTAACAAAGTGCTATTACAGAACAGAATAAAAAAACAGCCCTTGTGACAAACAGAAATTGCCTCAATCGGTGCAAAACTGAACTAATTTTTTTCCGTCTTGTGATTTCTAGATTCGAAGGTATAAGAGTAACAAGAAAGAGAAAGAGAGACCTGTAGCAAGAACATGTTTGTTTGTGACTAACGGCTCCTGGATGAACAATAAAGCATGCCTTTCATCTCCACACATCTAGGATGACATTTAGCCGGGAGTGCTCTAGCATGTGGATGGAGTGAACGGCTGAGAGGCTGAATGATAGTTTGGGAATAATGGCCAATTGTCAACAGTAGAAAAAAGGATGTGGAGGAATTTAAGCATGAACCTCTGTGAGTTTTTTGTTCCACAAGGTTGTACAAGGTTTTATGATCTTCTAACTTCCCTTTTCTTTCACTTCATCACCCTCGGCTTGCCTTTGGGTTTGTTTTTGATTTCTTCCAACCACCCCTTGCCCCCATAACCTATTTTACGGTTTATATAACGCCTTATTTCATAGTCTCCTATTTCAACAATAATATGTTGCTAATGCTCTCTAATGCTGTTTAATGCTCCACTATGCGGCCAGCCTCTTCAACTCCCCTAAACTCAATCAAGTTAGCCCCCCCTCTGGAACGCTAAGTGTTGATAATCTCGGACACAGAGGATGGAGTCTTTTCTGAGAGGGAATTTTTCTCCCTGCAGGATGAAATGATTGGTTACCAGAAAGAAGAGTGACAGGATTCTGTGTGCAAGAGTTTCTTTTCCTTGGTTTGACCCCTGCCTACTGGAGGTCACCAGCTTTCTGCACATCTGCCTTTCTCATAGCGATGTGCTTAACCATAAGTCTACTTTCAACAACTTCTCCACCACCAATTATCCACACACGCACCAACACAGTGTGCGTGTGTGTGTGTGTGTGTGTGTGAGCTTAGTGTTGCAGCATGTTTAAACGTTTAACCTCTATCCTCTTCCCATCAGACTGAACTCTCCACAAACACATCCTTCCTGCATGTTGTGTTTGCAGGCAGCATGGCTCTCTGGCAGCTGCAAGACCAGGGAAGTTAACCGGTCCCATGATGGGGGGGGGGGGGGGTTTCTGGCTGATATTAAGAATTAAGAGGATCAGAATCTGGGTCTGGTCTTACACAACAGTAGCATTATACAAACAACTCAAGTAATACAAAGGCCAAAACAATACGGGTCTGTGTGGCGTGATCCCCCTCGGCCTTCCTAACCTCCATGCCACTCATTCCTGTTGGGAGCTAAATAAGGTTGTTTTAGAGTTTAGTGCAAAGATCATTAACTTCAAATCCAATCAGCCAATCTCAGCTCAGACGAGTAGATGTGGTGAGGATATTGCAGCCATGATTGTTTGTTGCTCGACATGTCAAAAAACGATGTATCTACCTAAACAACCATCTATTATGCAACACTCAGAGGGATTATATTGTAACATTGTAAACTGTGCGTAAACACACGCAGGATACATTAAACTCATGTATAAATAAATACAACATGAACAAATTTAATGAAGACAAACGCATAAACATCTCCCTGTATCAATTCATTTAATTGTTTCTTTTATTAATATTTTAATTACTATGAACTGGGTTTCTGTGTGGATAGACTGATTGCGCCTTCAGACTGTGTGAGTATTCACTCCTGCAGGGGACATTGATTTGAGTTGTTACTAGTAGATTTAAAATACCTTCTAACCAATGGTTAAGCCTTGGGATGGCCTGTGGTGGCCATCCCAAATGTTTTTTCCTGTGAATAAGGACAGTAAATCGGTTGATCTTTAAAATCACTTCGATTAAATATTCAAATTCCTTGATAAGGTTTAGGATGCTTCAGTTCCAACATGCAAATTACAGATACATTAATAAATCAACCAAAATTTGGCAGTATGGGGTGAGAAAGAACTTCCTACAACTTTTAACAGCTGATTTATTGTGTCAGCAAGCGTATTTTTACCATTGAAAAATAATAAATTGTGTCTTTGTTTCACACATACTTGTTTCAGTAAATTTCATTGGGTTAATGAGTTAATGAGGTATTGTTTTCTGTTGGATCAGATCTTGGATTTACTTTTAAGTCACGGATCATTTTATCAGATCAGGAGAAGGTAGTGTAGTGCTCAGGCCACCCCTGCACCCCTCTGGAACTGCCCCTGTATTACAACACAACAAACTCAAAATTCCAAATATGAATATTTGCTTTAATCTTCTAAACACATCTATTTTGTTTTGACAAAGTTGAATAAGTAACACAAGCAGGCTGATTATTGTGTCTCTGGTTGCTCCTGCGGTGCATATTGTGAGTGAAAAGGGGGGGGAGTCTGCAAACTAAAAACCTGTCTCGGATCTCGATTGTACCGTTTACATACACACGGGCAGTAGCCTTTTGTGCGGTCATGTAATTGCACACCATCAAATTGCAAAATGTAGTTGTTTTGTTGTGGTTACATGAGTAACAGAGCACACTTCTAATCTAACAACATCCAAAAGTGATCCTTCAAGTTATCAGATATGCAACTGATTTGTCATTTCTAAGATGAGGCACACTGAAACATTCCTCTACAGCCTGGTATTAAGTAACCCTTCAGCTTTTTCAGGTCAGTAAGCCAGTATGCACAATACCAGGAACTGAAACTGGACAACCTTCCTTTGAAAAGTCAAAATGTTTGTTGAGAAAATGATTTAACAGGATGAGGCCACGAGTTATAGTAGGTGAACAGGATGCCGGCGCCTGGCACCACTTGTTTGGGACAAGAACCTTTAAAACTGCATTGCTAGATTGCATTGTTTTGTGTAAAATATGAAGGGCTTTCAGTGAAACAGAGCCAGTGTGTCTTGGTCCTCTCGACTGATGTGTTTGGAGAGAAGAGCCATCGGATAGGAAGCTTCAATGACAATGACATAGGCTAGAAGGGAAGACCCCGAGCAAAGAGACAATGAGCCAAATATGATTCATGATGTCTTGTGGAGGGCTGCCTCTAGATATGCCGTGATTTAATGCCTGGTATGTATTGGAATAAAAAAAAAAAAAGCAGGTGACATTGACGCCTAGGCAGCATGGTTAGAGATAATCACTCATCACCCACCCAATACAGATGTTTTTTTTTTTGCAGTGATGGTTGAATTTAACTTCAGGACCTGAGTCAGGCGGTCCTTCATACTCAGTGACCACAGGGCTCTGGCTCCTGCTCGTGTCAGAGCGTGTGTCAATGTTACAATGATGGGCTACCTGCTGAAATTGCTTGGCACGATGTCACTTGAGAGTAGCATAGCACAAATTAGCATCTCCACTACAGTGGGTCTAC